TAATGGAGACCCAAATGGAAGTGCAAAACTATGCAAAAAGTTAATTTTGCGCAATCGGCCTCCTTTAATAGTTAGCCTTAATAACGATAGCCAAAACAGGCTTTTAGATAAATGGATAGATAGAAACTTTATTAATCTATAGTTGTACAGTATTGAATGTTATAAGTTTTGTCCATACTGTACATTATTTTAATGTTATGTTTTTATTTTTCTTTAAATATGCATTCTTCTATTGCCTGTCACTGCCTGTCACTTTTGTGTTGGTGCTCTTGAATTTCTCAATTTTACCTGGAGGCAAAATAATCAGAAATAAATGCTTGAAATCCAATACTCTGTGTAAACTATATGACATGGAATCCACTCTGAATTGAGATACTGCAATAAAAGTGTACCATTTTACAATGGTACTTTTTTTTTATCCAATTGGACCCATATTTGGAAATTTTCCGATCTGCCAGTGAGTTGTTTCTATGAGAGTCAGCAGCTCTGTTTATATCATTATTTTACTCTTACAAACCCCAAGTGTGCGGCACTCAACACTTAGAACATCAGCAGTTTGCACTCTTCCAGGCTCATACATAAAACATAGTTTGTTTTCTCACATTAGGATGTGTCACAGGAACCATGGTTGCTAAATCCAGCTTCATTTAGTCTTTAGAAAAACACTGACTCCTTTTTTAGTTTTTCTTTTACATGTTTGGGTTTTTACATACGTTTCTTGTGTTTCATATGTAGAAGTAAAAATGATCGTTCAAATTGTTCCTAGCAATCCTCAAGAAGGACACATCCTGATAAATTCCTACCAACATTCATGGCAGGAGCAGAAAAGCTGCAGGGGACAGACTGAGCAGATAAAACTTGTAAGGCAATCTGTTTTCTGTTTCTCAAAAATATGTTTATGCAGAACAGTATAAACATGAGCATGTCTTCTGAAAAGTAAAGTCAGATTTAAATATCATGTTTACTAAACTCAAACTTTGTGCTTAAATGTCTTTTTCTCCTCCAACTGCGCAATCACCTCATCCAAGAATGATTCAGCATGTAATTCATGTTTCTTTATATTATTTAAGTTATTTCCTTTTGTCGCAAAAAAACTTCATAGATAGTTTCTTTGGATTTTAAGCTGTTTTTCTTATCTTACCGTCTGTAAACATGGCTGTCTGTGACATCATATTTGTTTGCAATAGATTTGGTGTTTTGGAGCATTTCTGCAATAAGCATATTTTAAGTCACTTTCCTCTTCTCTGGGATTCATATTCTCAGTGGCAACAACATAGATAAGCTGTGCCAGAGGATTGCACCTGCTAGCTATTACACAGTATTAATGCTCTGCAGGTGTGTTTTAAGAACATATGTGAAATGTTATTCTTCAAATATTGGAACCGTATATGTTTAGGTCTTTAACTCAAAAGGAGGAGATAAAACTGGAACTACTGATACAAGTAAGGAAATCGCTGCTCTTTTTCTGTGTGGGTGCAATGTTAGTCAGCTTTAATGTCTTCAAACCTACTAAAAGTGCCATGCAAAAATGTTTATATCTTGTAATCCTTTTCTTTTTGTCATTACAACCACAAACTGATTTTGAAAGGAAGAGTCCCATTTGCAGAATGTAACAGTAAAATCCCAAATTTCTTTCACACTATATCTGATTTCTGAGTTTAATATTCTTGCTTTCTTTTCAAAAAAGAAATTACAAATGCAAGAAAAAATTTCAAAAAGTGTGTTTTATTGACAAAAATGTTCCTTCTGTGATGGAAGAAGTAAACCCACCTCGGGGGTTTAGATCCTGCACATTCCCCTTTTTCCACAGCTTTGTCTTCACATTTTAATCAGCGCAATGGACTTGTTTGATAAGACCACAAGCTGCATTTAGGGAGGAAAGGAAGATATGGTGGCTACCTTCCAGGTGCAGAAGTACTGGACACCCTTTAGTAGAGCAGATAAAGACTAATAGATCTGCAATCTATCCCAGTGATGCTGCCACAGCATGTTTTTTCTTCATTGAGCTTGAGGAGACATTTAAGCCTCCTGTGATAAAACGTGTAACTGCAGGCATTGCAGCAGTAGCTATGATGATGGTTTGGAGGATGGCCATTGTGATCCTTCATTTATGTAACTCAATAACTACTCAATGTGTAACTGCTGAAGCTGACTTTGGATTCCTGCTCATCTTTTCTGAAGTTTCAAGAATGTTTTTATGATAATTGGTTTTAATTTACACATAGTAATATTTTTTATTTTATTTTATAGATCACCATGAAACCACAATATGTTGCTATTAACATCTGTATCGACCAATTTTAGTCATTTCTAACATATCAATTTCAGTAAGTGAAAGTGGTCTGTTATGAATAACCAATATTTATTTCCATCCTGTTGCCGTTTGGGTTTCTGTAAGGTGAGATGATTAATGCTATGTTTGGATATGGGATGGTAGTTCAGCGCAGGATTGTGGGATGTTAACTGAAGCAGAGAAGGAATGTCAGCAGTGTGGTGATTGTTTTCGTATTGTCAAAAGGGTTGGGCATTGCATCACGAATATCGGTAAACATGGGTTATCCATCATAATAGCAACATTAATGATGAATATTGATTGCATCCCTCGTTGGCACTATCTAATGCATGTATGCTAAAATGGTGCCTTAAGAGTTTCAAACACTAAGTATAATTAATGTGAGTACACACATTTAAAAACTTTTAATTTGGTTTCATCACCACCTCTTTCAATGTTCTTATTGAAGCTGAGGATTTCTTGATTTCATAGGGTATTTTTAGTCACATCATTTAGTTTGCTTCTTTAGATGTTTTTAGAATAACATCGATTGCCCAGTAAAATCTCATTAGTTTTAACTAGAGGGAAACCGATTTCTAAAACTATTGAGGTTAAAGATGTGACTTCAGATTTGATGTCAGCTTTGAATACACTCTCCTGTTGTGCTTTGTTACTAAAACATTCACAGAGCTGATAACAAAGCTGTTTTTCAAGTTTCTTTACATAAATTTAAGCTCACAGTGATTCATATTGCATACAGAGTTGGGTTTACTTGAGGTCTGTGCAATATTAGGAATAGGAGAGCATGGGAAATATGGGAATATTTGTATTGTTCCAATAATTGACGCAAATGTCTACTGTTTTGTCTTTGAAACAACTTGGGTTTAGTTTCTTAAAACCTTGACTACCTTAATTCCTGTACTAGATATAGTGTTGCATAGACAAGCTGAATGCGTATCTACAATAAGACTTATTGTAGTCCAGGCAGTTTTTTACAATATGTGTATTTCAATCAGCAATTTTGACTTGCGATTCATTAATTTATAAATATAAATGAAAATAATTTTCCCTGAAATTGAAACTTCTTTATTTTATGAGAGATTCTTATCTCAATTCCCATCTGAAATAAGCCTCTTGGTTGGTCGAGAATAATTATCCAATTCAGCTCAAAGTATTAATAATTTCTGGCTTTTTTTTTTTAAAGAAAATCCTTTGCTAAATGCCAGTCGGTATATGAATACACAGTGTTGTAAGGTATTTTCTATTTCAAACACAACATTTTGCAGTAGTTTTGAAAGGATGAAGAAATTACTATTTTTTAAAATCATCCTCAGTAATTCAGGTTAATGATATACACATTTATTGTTGTAAATGCATACATGAAATAAACGTCGATAACTGGACGTTGAGAGATATAGAAAACACGAGTCTTACTTAGACCTGCATATGTTGAATGCTTGGCTTGGACAGGTTGGTTTTGTCCTCCAGCACACTCAAGCACTGGCATGTTTTATTTAAAAAGCTATTCCAGGTAAGTGCTCCCAGCACTAATTCCCTCTATCCAGCCCAAGAGCCCAGACTGAATCTGGAAACAAAAACATGTTTAAGTATGCTGCCTCCTCCACTTTAAGTCAGAAAGACACAAAATTCACCTGAATTTTAGAGGGCAGGAATGTAAATGTGAAACATGAAGAGGTGCAACGGGCTGCAGATTTTCTGCTTACAAATAAATATTTGCTTTGGTTTCTTAAATACCCACAGCAAATGTATCTTTTTTTTAATATATATACCTATTTGTATATTAGCTCTTAAGTATTCAATAAAATGTATTTATATTAGCACAACTGTTCTTAGTTTTAGAAATGTCTTGAAAGAATTTTTGTTACATTTCAAATTACTTTCTTTCTGTTTGTTTTTAAAAATTAAACTTTTTGAAAATGTTACTTCACCTTCATCTGGTCACCTGTTGTCTCAGACAAAGCAGTCAAAAGGGAAGTGAAACAATGTGTCTCTGTTTTGATATTTTCATGTTTGTGACTCTGAGGGGGGTAAATGAAACCCTCATCAATTTGGATTCATAAATCAAAAACAACATGGCAGAGGCTAAATGCCAGTGTTGTGTGCCAAGAGGTTGCAGTGTGCTCTGGGCTAATTGGCCACATATTGTTTACGCTGCAATAAAAAGTTTTGTTACAAACACAGAAATAGCTCTAGCAGTCAGTTTGCTGGGATCACACAAATCATGCTGCTGGGTCAAAGGAGTCATTTTCATTGTTGTGCTGTTACAATGCTACAAAAATTGTTTGCTGTAAATCACAACTTGAGCAGCTTTCACAAGGAAAGTAAAGGCTGACAACATCAAAATAAAGACATTAAAAAATTCAAATCATAGTTGGATTTTTGTAACAAGCATCTTTCTTGATTTTCGAACAAGTTACTAGATAAAATGTACAAGTTCACATTAAATCAAATGTACAGTGCTGTTTACTGGTTTTATTTTGTGAACATTTAAAGTCTGTGGTTGTAATATGACAAAATCTGAACAAATTTCTTGAGGTCTAAAAGCTTTTGCAAAGCCTTTCTTTTTGCAAAGGCTTTCTTCTCTTCATAGCTCTTATTCTTCCACTAACTATTCAATTAAATTGAGTGTTTAAAAAATCTTCTGCTTTGTCATTTTTGGCCAAATGCAATAAGAGCTTGTGTGTGTTTTGTTTATGTTTCTTTTCAGGAAAAATGTCTGACATCCGAGCCATCAGGAAAATGCAACAACTAAATAACTTGGCTGTGATGGTGACAGAACTGGCCAGGCCGGGAGACACAATAGTGGATTTCTGCAGTGGAACGGTATTGATGCTCATCCATCAGTCTATTAAACCGTGCACACACAATTCTCCATCTGACTATAGCCACATTAGATGCTGCTTCATAAGTGACCATTTGAAATGGAACAATCCATCGCAATTACTCGTACTTGTCATTTCCTGTCAGGTGGATGTTGTTGTTGGATCATGTCATTCACACAAGCTGAAAGCAGGCACACTGAGCAACACCCTTGAAAGGATTTTTATAAAAACCAGTAGAGTTTATGTTAAGTTTATGGGGCCTTACATGTGCTTTGTGCTTATGTTATACATTTCTGTTTTCCCTATTTTGTTCTTTTACTTTCTTTCAGGGTCATGTGGGGATTGTTCTGGCGCACACACTTCCAGATTGTCAGGTAAAGTATCTTAATATATATGTGTGTGTGTGTGTTCAGAGAGTACAGCAATAAGCTGTTTCTTTCTCCATGTTCTTGTTCCTCATTGTGATACTAATGATCTCTCTGGTAGACATTTTATCCCAACAGAGGTTTCTCTCTTAGAAAATACTTTTTGACTCTCAAGTAATTTCTTAGATGGTTAGTTCTTAGTTTTACTTGAGTAAAAGTATGTTGAAATCGTTTTACTCCTACTTGAAAACAGTTTTTGGGTCGTTTACCCACCTCTCCTTATAATCATGGTAGGTTGTGCTTTACTGACAAAGATTAGTAGGAGCCCCTTAATAAAATCACAAAATGCGTATTGTCTGCATAACATTTTCAGATGAGGTTAAATAATTATTTTAGATTAACAGACTGTAAAACTACTTATCAAACTAAAGTATTGTGTCATTGTGTGTTTTAAAAGTAGCTCTCTAAGAAAATTCTTTGCTTTATCAAAACACAATATTATGGCATTTTTTTCTTGAAATGAAACGTCCTAATCCTCTGATTGCATTACTGCTGATTCTGTTTTTAAAAATATCGCTGTTTGATATTTTCCTGTCTTCATTGCAGATCATCCTTATAGAGAACAAAGAGGAATCTTTGGTTAGAGCCCAACGTCGCAGCATTGAGCTTGGCCTGAAAAACATTGGTTTCCTTCAGGCCAATTTGGATTACTTTACTGGAGCGTTTCAGATTGGGGTGAGTGACACATGTAAAAAAAAAAAAAAAAAAATACAAGTTTTCCAACTGTTCTGTTCTTTAGGTTTCAGATTCTCTAAACAAATGGATAGTTACTTCATGTACAACTAGAAAACAATAAAACATAATTGAAACTAAATTTAAAGCAAGAAAAAAAATTATTTACCACTTAAAGTACTGTAAACATACACAGCCCCTAAGTAAAGCTGACATTAGTTTATTTGTCAAAATGTTGGATTAAATTGGGAGAGTTGAATTTGACTTTGTCCAGGGGCGTGTTTGATGGCCTTGGGGGTTTCAAGCTAAAATCTTCAGGATTTGAAGAAATACCAAAGGTGGTTCAGGGAGGGAGTGCATTTTTGAACATCATTGTAACCACTGACTCATAACAGGCCTGATATTCTTGGTTAATAATGTCAATGTAGTTGCAAGAAAAGATGTGTCTCTTCGCCATGATGGTAAAATATTTCCCTGCGTTAAAATTCCATCGAAACAATAATTCATTTTGCATTGCGGTGTAAAACATTACATGCTAACATGACACATGGTGTACTTAAAATTGCCTTATTCTTTTGTTTTCAAATGCGGATGATGCAATTTGTTAATTACGATTTCAGTTTCACACACTTTTGAGTAAACGATATGGATAATGATATGTTGTCCGCAACGTATTTTGTTAATTTAATGTATGCGGCCATTAATTTATTTTTTTTTTTGTAATTATTGAAAAAGTGTCTGTTTTCTACAAGATTTTTCTTCTTCTTGCTCCCTTTTCACCCCCTTTTGATATGAGAATATGTTTTCACATTAATGATGAAATTTGTTATAGTGAGTGAATAAACTTATCGATTGAAAGATAAAGGATTATATATTCATGTATGAATAAAAGAGGCTTTATTCAGTTGCTTTTGTTTTAGCTACAGACTTCAATGTTCTTATGGAGGTGAACAGTACCTGGAAAGAGCCACTCATCACAGTAGGTTTAACTCCTTTATGCATTATGCATGGCGCCACTTTTAGTCACGTTCAGTTCAGAATGTTAATTATCCAAAAACCTTATTTTAGCATCTGCTCCTCCAGGCTTACATTTCACAGCTCAAGTGTTAAAGTTGTAGCAGGATGAAGAAACCTTTTGGGCACACTTAAACACATACAGTGGAAGCCAGATATTTACATCTGCTGCACAAATAGTTACAGCTGATGTAACCTTTTTTTCACTGTCAGACATTAAAACAGATTAAATATTTCTTATTTTAAGTCATTTAGGATAATTTCTACATGCTAATTGAAAGAATGGGATAGAATTAAATCTATGTATATGTTTTACTGTCTTTAATGTTAAAGGTTTATGTATATTTAGAAGAAAATAGAGTAGAAATATTCTTTATTGTCCGACAGTGAGGAAATTCAGGTGTAACAGCAGGACAGTAACAGGACATCGAGGCAAAATGTCAGTTTAAGAAAGGTCAAATCATTAACATGCATCAAGCAGAAAAAATAACTGGGATTTCAGAAAATACTAAAAATAGGTTCAGAACTGACCAACTTCAACTTCTAATTAAAATTTGGAAGAAAAGTGGGGAGCAGCGCTACATGGATGGTGATTGACTGACCTCCTGGCTCTGATTGATTGTTTCCAATCAGAGCCAGGAAATTTAAAGCTGTATTTTAAAGTTGCAGCTTTAAAGGCAAATTAAAATGTATGTGGACTCCTTTGTTTAGGGTTGGGTTTAGAAGTAAAATGTGAATAAAATTCTGGATAAGGTAAGAGAGGACTTGTAATTATTAGGGAAAATGTCTAGGTCATGCCTTAATGCAGTCACTGAAATGAATGGAAACCAATGCAAAGTTCTAAAATGGGTAGAAATACAAACATGTGCATGTGTGTGTACATGATCCATTGAGATGCTTTTCTTTATTGCTCTAATTTTAAGTATTAAGGAGCAGAAAGGTAGTGGAGCTTGAAGGTAATTTGGATTTCATTTTGGCTTAAGCTATTATTGACTGTGCTCAGATTTTCTGGTTGTTTACAATTGATTCTGCCAGTAGATTTATATTCGTGGGAACAAAATATGTGCTTTGTCAAATGACTCGCAGCTTTATTGGTTTATAATGACAAGACTGATGGTATTAGAACACAGTAAAAAGGAAAAGCTTCCAAACCTAAAAAGTTTTAAATGCAATTTGGCAGGAAGTTGTTATGATGAAATATGAGATGATTGCAAGAATTTACTGTTGTTATGCATGGCTGGATGCAGAGAGAGGAGGGATCATTTGAACAAAATAGACTATTGTACCCTTATTTTTTCTATGATGAATCTATTTAGTGAACACAGTGACACACTGACAGCTTTTTTTACTTGAGGAAAAATTGATTCATGAAGAATTATTAGCTTTACAAGTGCCCTCCTTCTTAGGCCATATTAATTGTTTTCTACCTCCAGACTCTGCAGAGATGTCACTTAAGAATACTTGTTCATATATATGAACATAATCATTGTGCAATTAGTAAAACAGACATAGACTGCAGAAAGGCTTCATTATTGCCAATTTAAAGAGACAAAATACCCCTTAAAGATTATCAAGCATAAGTGTTTTCACATTAAATGCATAATGTTGCTCATGCACTTCTGTTTGACTAATGTGGTTTTGTGTCGATAAAAGCAAAGGTGAAACATTGCATTAGAATTTAGTCCTGTAGATACATTAATTATCTACATAAAACTGATGTTTGATGGGCTTTTTAGTTTGCTTTAGATGTGTTTGTTGTCACATTAAGCAGGTTTCAAGAGCTGCTCTTCTTGCGCCTGTTTGGGTTTTCTTTAGCAATCCCTTTCTCTGGTAAGAAAAATGTATAAATCTGAGTCTGTATTTAGAGAATGTCTTTCTTTTAAGTTAGTACACAACTTACTGTCTTCTGTCAAACTGTGATCTGTAACTTTCTAACTTTAAAAGTGCTTTATTGGTATGAATAGTATTTAAAAAGATAAACAGAGGTGTTACAGAAAGCTCATAATTAGTGTTTGTAATATTACCATGACAAATAGCCATTTCTGAACGATGTGGTAACTCAGATGAATAGTTTCAGTCGTTGATCTTCACCACTGGCATGCTTTCCCACTGATGACTTGAGTTTCTGAGACTGAAGTTTCCATAGCTGGAAGTATCCATTGGAGCTGTAATCACAGTGAAGTGTTGTCCTAAAATGAATTGACCCGGGGACGAAGAATAAAGTTTCATGCCACACTTTTCCAATTCTTAATTGCAAAAAGAATAAATATATATATATATATGAAAGACTTGTAACCTTTTTCTTACACTTAAAAATTTCAGGACTCGTATAGCAAAGGCACAACATAAAAAGTCATTTAGCTTTCAAAAGCTGCAATGCAGGATTTTAAACTCTGCTTTTTATTTTCTATTTAATTATACGTTTAAAGAGTTTTGTAAAATGTGTGATCCGAGTTTATTCTGAGTAGAATGCCTGGCTTTTCAGGATACAGTTTTTGTTCAACTGTCTTTTGTGTTGTTGTTTTTTCAGTTTTTGTTTATTGTTTTGCCATCTTAGCTTGTTCATACTTGTTTGTATGTGACATATTGTTTCTTTGTGTTTTCATATATTTTGTGTGAAAAATACATTTTTGCATCTTAGATCTCATTCTTCCACAAAGATTATGTGAAAACAATTGTACATAAGCTCCAACTTTCATAAAGATTTAGAGAGCATTAGCAAATGTCTTCCTGTCTAGACATACCAGTGACTGAGAGTGGCTTTAGCAATGTTGCTCAGGCTGTCTGTATCTCCCCATGTGTTGGAGGAGCTCTGGCCAGCTGTTCTAATCCCGCCCTGATCAGCTCTGAATTTCTGTTGTGCGGCTCTGCTGTCAAGACATTTTCCATTCAGATTCACAGTCATGATAACTTCTTGCAAAACATTTGTAGAACATAGACTTAGCAACCTCAGTTGCACAGAGAACCTTTGTGGATATTCTCATATAGATATTTAGTAATTGAAAAACATCTTTTAACAATAGATTTTTTTTTCCCAGATATGCTTTTCTGGGAAATAATAGCTGGAAGACAGAGACAGAAAACATTCTTGGGTCTTTTAGTCCCCTTCCGCTGTTTCTGATATAAGCATAGCATCACTAATGGAGGGGCAGGTGTTTATCACCACGCACAGTTTACCCACTCAATAGGAATCTTGATGCCTTCGTGCTTCTGCTCTGAAAGCATCAATGCTGTTGTTTGCTGGAGCTCCCGATGTGAAGTTTGGAGTTTTACGTTCAGCAGCCATTATGAAGTAATCAGTAGGGATCAATAATTTGTGCTCTCAGTTTATAATCTTAAAAAAAAATGCTTTCAATGAGACAAAATTGGACTTTATTAGTTGAATTACACAGTATGTGTTTTGTCTTTGTCTGCTCTTATGAAGGTTGCCCTCCATGCATGTGGGATTGCGACAGACATGGTGTTGGAGCACTGCGTCCAGGCAGGAGCCGCCTTCATCATCAGTCCTTGTTGCTACGGCTTCATCCAGAACGCAGTCAAGTTCACCTTCCCAAAGAGGTCTGTGCCTTTCCTCTACTCCTCCCTCCAGAGCTACCTCCATTAGCTGTTTTGCCTTAAAATGTTGTTTGTGACCTTGTTAGTTTCATGTCAGATTAATGCTGCCTCCATTCCCCCTCCTCCCTTGACTTTCTGTTTTTTTAGTTGTTCAACCCCTGCTGTCTATTATTTCCAAATTCATTCTGACTCCATTTCTGCTCTCACATAGAGATAATCTGTCTTGTCGCTACGTTTTTGTTCAGCTCCCGTTTCTTATCAGCACCACTGACAGTCTGAGGCAGCGGTGTCACATCACCTCCTCTGCAGGGTCCGTCCCTCACATTTTCAGTCTTCTTGTCAGCTCCATAGAGGGGCTCTCACTGCAGAGGCGGTCAGGGGTAATATAAATAGACTGGAATGGAAATCTGCTTGAAATCACTCTTGACTTGTGACATGCAATATTCAGTTGAACAGAAAAATGCCCCTCGATCTGGCTGTTTGGATGATTCTGCTCAGTTAGAAGTGAAAGAAAAACGCGGCGCCTCACCAGACAGTGAGAAACAGGAGGATGCACTGAGCGTAATTGAAGTTGATTTGTTGCTTAATGCTGTTAGAACTTAGTCACAACAAGGCAGACAGCTGCTAAAACAACTCCATGCGACTGATTGCTGGAAACAAAGCTGTTGTGTGGGAGTGCTGATGTAACGTTGGCATTTTATGGAAGAGAAGCTGCTACAGCAAATGATGCTCCAGGCATCAGGTTGGAAGGAACGGTGCTGTGTGTGATATTTCACTGACTTCTCTTCTTCATTCTATGTCAATTTTGCATTTTTAGAACAGTACTCAAACTTTAGCTTGAATACTGAAAGATTTTGTTGAACTTGCAAAAATGTTGTGACTGGCATGTCACACTCATCATAAACTACAATCCATCACTTGCAGAGTAATAATTTTACAATGAACCCTCTCTGACTGTCTCCAGGTAGTAACACTAAGCTTAGATGTGTGAAACAGCAGGAAATTCTAGTGTTGCTCCCGTAAGTCCTTCGTACATCAGCCATGTGTTACTATGACATAGTAAGAGAAGTGTGTTTCAATTAGACCATCATGTCAAATTCCTACTAATTGGATCTTCAGCTAAGTGAGGCAGCCTGGATTTTTTTTATTTTCATTTTTTTTCAAAGAAAGTACCATTCAAGAGCACTGGAATATAAAGATAGCTGGTGGTGTGGGACCTCAGACAGGTGCTTGCCTCAAGAGCCGTCTCGAGTACCACATTTTAAAAATCTCTTTCCTACTCCTATTTTAGTCATTTTGCATTTTTACTCTGACCATTTAGGACTCCAGCTGCACCAGCCTTTTAGTGTTTGTTTTTCCTTTTACTGTGGCTTAGTGTTAGACTCCTGGCTGCATTTAAGTTCAACCAGTAGAGTTTTATATTGAAAATGTCCTCCAGATCAATGAAGGACCGTCAGATGCAGTGACATATCTTCTTGTTTGATTTGAAGTTTTTCAGTTAATAACAGAGACAACCATACTTGAAGTTTTAAATGGCATTTTTGTCATCAATGCTGAATTAGTCTTATTATCTCCCAGTAGAAGAAGCTTCAATGGACAATGGAGGATGGAAAAGTGATTTGCTCCATTGCCAGTTGTGTTTTAATCTTCTTGGCTGTTTAAGAGAATAAATTCATCCTCATCCTTATTCTCCAAATATGTACTGTTAGATTAGCTGGTATAACATTTCTGTAGGTGTCACATCCTTTCAAGGGAGCAAGGCCCTTATAGGGTGAATAAATAAGGAAAATTGGTCTATGCACAGAGATTTGCTATAACAATGAACACTAATGACAAAGTCTGGGAAACTGGGAAACACTTTGTGTTTTATTTCAGCATTTTTATTCAAATTTCATATTTTCTAACAAGAAGTACCATTACAAACATTTAAACAGCTGAAACAGCATTCAACTGCCTAGTGCAAATATCGCAATTTTCTTTTGCCAACTCAGCTCTTCATCCTTCATAACTTCTTGTTAGAATGACAGCAAGATGTTTTTGGGACCAATACTAAGATGTGTCTGCAGGGAATATGTGGAAAGGATCTGCACACCTGACTCACTTAATCATGACACTTTTAGTGTTTTTTTTCTTCGACTTTTTTGCTAGGGGTCATATTCCAGGTAGTCATGTGTGCATTCTGCAGGTGTCTGCATTCACAGGTTTTTATGAGCTGTGAAACTCAGCTTCCCATGTATTAATGCTTCCAAATGTTCCTCCATGTGACCGGGCTAGCTCTTAACCCCTGACACAGGGCTTGTTGAATTTTAATTAACCTCAAACATTAACCAAACTTTGTGATGGATAAACTGCATTTATCCTTCACAAATAAACTGGCTTCTTTCCCAGGGAGAAAGTAATTATTCTATGAAATCTTGAGCTCTATTTGTGTTTGTTTAATCTTTTTTTTCTAAAATTCATGGTTTATTTGTGAGAGCTTTGTCCATTTAAAATGACTCTCACAAAAAGAGACCACACACACAGACACACACACTCATGTGGCCTCTGCAGCTAAACATGAAAATATGGCCTTTCAGAAATATTATAATATAATATAAAGCTTTGTCTTATTTGTGCATGGAGTTTTACAAGTATAGATTGTCATGTTTTATATCTTCTGTTCTTTGACTGGAGCAGAGGAAATTATTTAGTTAAATTGAAATGACTCAAACCTCATTCCAGTTAAGATTATTTGAGGCTTGTCATACACAGAAAATATAAACACACACTTTATTGCTTTTCATGTCAAAGTGAAATTTGATGGCGAAAGCAACTTTCTTAAGTCTAAACTAAGCACAAATTACAAGGAATGTTCCAGAAAAGAGAAAATATTCATATAGCAACTGCTGTGGTGAGAATCACTATGCTTTATATGCTTTGTATTTTGCTGGCACTCTTTGGAGACCATTATTACAAGCTGATACACCTAATATCTGCAATCACAAATCATCCCTTAAGCTCACTGTACTGCAGTGGTATAGTGGAGTGATTCTATCATTTCACTTTGGACTAAATTCATGATGAACATTTCTGGAACCTTAATCATTCTGTGCCGCAAAGAAAAAGTTAAAATAGCAAAAATGGGTGGAGCTATAAAATGAGTCAGTGAGTTTAAATGTAATTTAGCACCAATGGGATTAACAATTTGCAGACCAACCCTAAGAAAATAAGAACTGTACATGCAGTAATGTTTGGCTGCTTGACAAATTTTTATCGTTATGATTCTTTAAATATTACCAAATTTGATTAAATATCTTTTGATTACTTTACAAATGCACACAAACAAATAATTAGATATTCTCCAGTTTATAAGCCTGTAAAGGTGAAAATGACCAAATGTATTTTTTTATTTTTACAGTTCTCTATTTACATAGTAAAATCTTTTTTCTCTCTTATGTTCTTTAACACGATTTGTCTTCTGTTTTTACAGCAAAAGGTTTCAAGAGACTCTTACATCCAAGGTATGCTTTACACTGTGAATACATCTCCAACAATTCAATTTTACTTTGTATCAAATAAAGCACAGTTTTTAGAGATTTCTGAAATGTTCACATAGATGGGAACCTTCAGTAGCTGCAGGTTTATCTTCCAAATGTCTTCATCATTACGCTTCCTGTTTTCGTTTTCTTATCGTATTTCAATACTTTTTTGTTGAAGTCTTGCATTAACCAAAGTGGAAAAGAAAAACATTCAGTGGTAGAAAATGTATATACCTGAACAGCAAATCACTGACCCATGAAAAGCTGCAGATGTTCTTATTCTGTAGATATAAACAGTACGTCAGTATGTCAAAGTTAGATCAGACTCTGAAATTAAAACAAATTAGGAAATATTTAGTTTGAGTTTCACACATATTAAACATTTATTCATAAAGTTGAATATATTTGTGTTACCTGTAATTATAGGCAAGTCTAAATTCCATTGTTTTGCTATGAAAACAAGATGTGTCCTACGGTCACATTCAGCTTAAATTTATTTATTTTTTTTCAAATGCTTCTCCTGAATGATTAATATTTCTGGTAAGCAAAAGTTGTTGTTTTTTTTTTTTTCTTTTAATCAGACGTTAACAGAACTAATACTATCTTTACTCTGATCTCTGTCTTGATGAACAAATCTTATGCAGGCTTTTACAAGGGAGGTGTTCACACCCTCCAGCTACTCGAGCCTTTATCGCTCAGGACAGGCACACTGCTGTTCTTCAGGGAGAGGCTGTCCCAAAGTGATCTATGGGACCTGTCAGATTCCCCGAGGGGGAAATCTGTGTAAAGTAGCTGCGGGTCCTAACCATGGCAACCTCAGGTTGATGTGTCAAAACACTGAGCCAGCTTCTTTTCCTTGGTGCAGAGCAGGACCTTTACATGGGCTGACTGGCACAGAGAATAGTATACAGTGCCTTGCAAATGTTTTCACTCCCCTTCAACCTTTGCACATTATGTCAAGTTGCAAACACACACACACTTTGGCTTGCAATTCTTACATGGAAGGGAAAAAAAGTGCAGGGTTTTCATTATTTTTGTTTTGTACAAATGAAATATGCATTTATATTCAAACATCTTTGTTCTGTTACCCACATGCTATCAGTAGACTCAAAGACTCAACTTGTCTGTATTTTCATTTTGGTACACACATAGCTGTTATGTCAAGATCTAAGAAATTTGTCAGAGAACAGTTGTGAACAAATAGTGTCCTGCGGAGAGGCTTGTTGGTGAGTTTGCATTAAAACCCTGAAATAAAGAGCCGTGAAGCTTTGCATGTGAAAAGAAGAGCATGGTAACCTGGAGGAGATGCAGAGCTTCACGACTCAGGTGGGATTATCTGCTGGTAAGACAACAACTAGTGATGTGCTCTACTGGATGAGTTACAGGAAATAAAGAAAAGTTTTAAAGAAAACCATCAGTTGTCCTGCTTAAAGTTTGTGACAGACATGAGAGATTGGAGTACAGATTCAACTTCAAGCACAACAAATTTTATGTAGGTATTTCAATGGAAAGGGTGCAAAAGTATAAACACATGGCACACATTTCAGGTTTTTTTCATAAGAGAAAATTAAAGCCATGTATTATAATTTTTTCTCAACTTTACAATTGTGCAGTACTTTGTGTTGCTCCATCACATAAAGTCTTCATAAAAAAGCTTAAAGTGTATGAATACTATTGTCAGAAACTGATTTTCTGAGATTATAGATTATTATTTTTGTTTTTATCACTGAGAGAAAAACAAGATTAAACAAAATAACAGTGAAAAAACAAACTCACAACTTTTGATGTATGAGCCCCATAACATTGCACATGCGTTGCAACTCTTTATTTCTTTTGCTGAGTGCAGAAAGCAATGTTCCCTATGTTTCTGCTCCCAGACACCCACTTGTCTTGTTTTATAGCAGAACCACCGTTGTCCTTGTGAACCGAAAGTAGTTAAAGCAAACGACAAGATGCTGACAGATGCTTGTGAAATAAAGGGTTAATGGTGTGAGGTGTTGGTGCTCGGCTCAAACGTAAAGGGCCAGCTCTGCTTTACGGCCTTGCATTCAGCATTTGCTCTGCACTGTGAAAAATGGGATCAATTAAAGCAGAGGCAGCTTAGAGATGACTTACTGCTCTGCTGAATCACTTGTTACATGAACCATACACAGGGAGAAGCTTAGAACGGGGAAGCGTGTCCTTTGTTTGGAAATAAATTACCTGGGTTCATGTGGTCTGTTTGGAAAGCAGACAGGGATTCACATATTTCACTCCTAGGGGTGGCAGTTGTATTATTTCCTATCTGGCAACTATTTTTAACAAACGTATAAATTAGAAACATGTCACCTGGAAATGATTACGAGCAAACAAACAGCTGCAAGCCGGATCCATGTCACAATATCTAATGACATGTAATATGGAAAGGCAGACAGAGCGACTGCTGCTGGGGTTTATACATGGCAACAACCACTAATGGACGCTTGTTAGCTAGTCTGGTTGCTAATGTTGGAGCCGCAGGTTTGGGTGTGCTGACTTTGATTTTGTGTGTGTAAAAATAACCACGTCAAGGAATGTTGAGCTTTTATGAGCTGACAGATTTACGATGCATCGAGATAAGACATCTCATTTCCAAGACCGTTCCCTCATCACTGAGCTAAGTACGCCAGTGAGATTGTAATGTCACTTTTTGCCACTGTTTATACAGATTTACAAAACCGCGCCATGTCTCCAGTCTTGTCTGGTGGACTTTGTTTTGACTCCACAGTTGCTAGGCAAGTCTAATAAGATGATTGTTAGGATACATTCTTTGGATACATTCTTGACAAAAGAATTACTACTTTCTCTCCGCAATCATGTTTTGCTCCCATTAAAACAGGAAATTCTTGTAGTTTTATGGACATAGTGTAAAATCTTGACAGATACTTACATCTAGTAAATGCAAACTTGTTGTGCCTAACCATGCGATCTGCTGAGAATGTTTCCTGCCTCACAGGCGCAACATGCTGAGATCTGCATCATGGCTGTGCACAAATTCAAGCAGGTGTAGGCTATAGTAGGAGTACTAGACAAGCAAACTAATCCATTCATCCATGTTAGTTTCACTGAATTCTTTAAATGTCTGAAATGCGTGGCTTTGTTGTGCCTACTGTTGCACCCTGGAGGTATATTGTTTCAAAAGTTGGTCAAACAAGGTAAACAGTATTTCCAGATTAAACAGTTATTTTTCATCTGTCTTCCTCAGGAACACATGATCCTTTGCCGCTTTGCAGATCAGACTGCGGTCCAGTTACCACCCGAGAGGCGCCTCATTGGTACTGTTCATAATCTGCTCTTTTATCCCATCTTGTCTCTAATTGTGGCATTAAAGTACAAGGATTCCTGTCCTTTTAGTTGATATGATTATTTATTATGGTGAACTGTGAATAATTTGTGCACTTGATTCTTTCTTGGCTTGGTTGTTTTTCAAGCATCAAGTATTTTGTCTTGTTTGTTCCAAGAGATATTTTCCTCTCTCCGTTTTCTTATCTGGGATTAATTCTTAGAATCTCTGTAGAAGGTTTCTTACAAAAGGGAGGTCTTACAAAAGATCATATCAATTTTAAGTCCTTGAAAATCTGTTTTGGGGTCAAAGATGCATGACCACTGTGCATCTGCTTGCAGCCATTTCTATTTGTCTGAGGTTCTAATGGAAACGTTGAGTTGAGAGGGCGTGGCCAGCAGGAGATTATTTGCATAAGTAGCCCTAAAACAGCATATTTCTAAATGAGCTCAATAGAGGCAGAACTGACCAGGTGAGATCTCAATTGAACTGGCTTCAGTTGAATGCAGCTCATTTCACTTTACAATACTGTTCAATTGACTTCAACTCAAAATTCATTTTGATTAATTAGAGAAAATGCCTTATATTTACTTTAGCTGGACCTTAAGTTTCTACTTTCATTTATCAGCATTTTTCATTTTATGAGAAGTCTATTGCTGAGAGCCATTTGTTAAATTTCCTGAATCTGTACATTGATTCATTTATAAATGCAAAACTGATAATTGTTGTGAATAGAATAAGCTCATTCTATTCTATTCTGCTTTACACCGTACACATATCTTCATTCACGTATTCAGATCCCCTCCCGATGAAGCTATAATCTTGTGAAATGTGTTAAAAACATTTGACACAGCAAAAAAAAAAAAAAAAAACAATGACTGAAACAAGCAGCTGCTGGGTCAGAGTCCCATTCAGATGGAAGTGTGAAACCTCCACTTCTGCGCTGGATCTTTACTGAGAACTGTTTTCATTATGTTAAGTACCCTTTTTCAAGTTGATAGCTTTCCACTTTATCAAAGCTTCATTAAATCAGAAAAGCTCCCCAGGGTTCTTGAATCTGGAGCCTTTTTATATGTATCTGACACTACCTGTCACTGCTCTCTTCTGTCAGATTACAGAATATTATCTTCTTATCTTTTCTAAATCTGCTAGTCAGGCTTTTACCATCAAAGCAGCATGATAATGAACAGTGTCTAATTTAGGTGGGAGTTTCATTTTTTTTTCTGTGAAGAGGCTAAATACATCAAATAAAGACCTGAACTAGATATGTGTAAATAAACACATGATCCCAACACGATGTGAAATGTTTAACTGAGTGTGGCTAGAAGAATCTCATTTCTACATTGAAGTTCAGAGGTAGAAACATCTGTATGTTTTGTCCAAACACATAATAACTTTGGGGGCCAATGAAGGCTTTCATTTTCTATAAAACATTGATCAAGTGCCTCAGCCTTAACACAGAAGACCAGTTCGCTCACAAAGCTTAAAGAAAGGAGCATCTGGTCCTTCACAAATGATCATTTAAGTCGCACATTTCCAGCTCACATGTCATAATTTATCAAATTAATTATTTACTTAATTAACATGCTAATTGGTTTTGTGTTTTTCTGTATTGCAAATATTCTCTCTTTCTAAATTGAAATTCACCTTCCATAATAATGAGAGAATTATTATGGTAATAGTTCTCTAATTATTACCATAATACAAAATATTATGGTAATAAGCATTACCATAGTTATTGCCAATTGTGGTAATAATTATTACTATAATTATGGTAATATTTATGGTAATATGTTTATAATTACATTTTGTTTATAAGTCAGGAAGCTTATAAAATCAGTGATAGTTAAATTATGGCACTCTCCAGACAAATAAAACCAATAAATAACCATATTTGTTTTTGACCATCATCCAGTTTAGGATTTGTTTAGTCATCATGCAAAGCCTGAATTTCTGCTGGATTTCAAACAAAAAGTGTATGTTATCTCCACTCTTGATTTGGTGACAATAGCATTTTATCGTTTTATTTGTGCTAATGTAGGAAAACACTGCATGGGCTTGGTGGACCTGGACCGGGCTTGGGCTGCAGAGACTCATGGGTACTCGGTTCAGGTGATGACTATGGAGCCTGATAGCTGTTCGCCAAAGAACAACATGTTGATGGGAAGGCCACCGCAGAGGACTGCAGAGCCAGCTGGACAAGTCGATGCATAATCAGGACTGTGAGCTCTACTGCACAGCTGAGCGTCTCCAGAATCGTTGAGATTGATCCTGGGTCTCTTGTGGCAGAAGCGTTTCTTTTACATGTCTGTTTTCAAGCAATATTGGTTTTTATGAAAGGTGGAAACTGTTAAACTGCATTTTTAAAAGTCAGATCCTCATTCTAAAAAAATAAAATTGGAACCAACAAGGATGGAAGATGTTTTTATTTAAACCGTGAGTTTGTTAGAGATTCTCTGTCCACAGGTCGCCACCAATTCGCAGTGCTATGATTGTGTTTTGCTGATACTGTGTGATCTAGCTGTCCATGTTCACACAAGCTTCAGTAATTTTACACTTACTTTGTTAATTAAGCAACTCATACATCCGCACTTGCAGACAATCTGCATAAGCAGTCAGATCTTTCTGATTAAATGAGGGGGAAGCTCAGAGCTATGAAACTCATCTGCAGGTAAAGATCAACTAGGGAATACCTTCAGTTCTACCTCACCTTCACTTCTGAGTGTTTTAATCAAGTTGTGGTGGAGAAGCACCTTTAGAGGTACAAAGAAGCTTTCAGCTCCAAATAGTTACGTTTAAATTAAGTCTTTGTGTAATTCTGTGGAGAAACTGAATATTTCTCATAAAAGATATGTAAATGGTCCAGCATCCTGCAAAAGTACTCGCATCCATTGAATTTTTACAAATATTGATATATCTGCAGATGTTAGATTTTTATGTGATGCACAGTATGATTGTGAGTTGGTGGCAGATTTATCTTTTTAAAACATTTCTACAGAAAAAATCAAAAGGGGTAGGCCACCCTGCGTTCCCGCCTTTCCAATTATTACATGATCAAGCCATGCTGGTTTTTTCCTTTGCTTTTGTTCTTTTATTTGTCCCTATATTATATTCAGCAGTATTTATTAATTAATGATTGTGTCAAAAAGATTTATGTTGCTTGGTAGCGTTTCGATAGAGAAGCTTTGAGGGAGATGCAGGTCTCCAGCATCTGTACTCATCTGAATTCTGTCAGCAGAGTCAGTCTGTCCTGAAGTGAATAGCCACAGACACCACTTGTTTCAAGGATTTTTCCTCAAGAGGAGGCGTCTGACTCCCTGTTCACGTTCGTGGCTCTGCAGGAGTGTACGCAGGTGGTGTGACAAGAAGCCTGCATCTTCACCTATGAAATTGCTTGATTTAAGCTGAAGGGAAGATACTGGAGATTGAATGGGGTGCCTTATTATTGCAAAACAGGTTCAGTGGATTAGTTGATTTCACTTTTAAACAGTGATCATTCTCTTGAAGCTTTTCAATGAGTGTATCATGCTAAGACCTCAATATTATTCTGAAACTGGATAATAAAAATTTATTTTTGTGTTATTTTCAAAGCTGAGTCAAGAAGATTATTTGCTTTCGTCTAAAGTAATCTGAAACTTTGTGCAAATTGTTTTCAAAGAAGACAGGCATTTCATCTGTGAGTAGTATTTATTCAGAAGATCTCGATAATCAGATGTGTGGATACCTGATTTAGCTTTCAAAAGGTTTTGCAACAAAACTAAACCAATTTTCCAAGTTCTAACAGTTTATCCACTTTATTCTTCTTACTGATACCCCTGTGTTATAAACAGTCCATTGTTCTATACTTAGGCCCCTACTTTTTGTGATCAAGCAGATAAGAGCTTTCCAAATTGACAATTAAAATTGTATTTATGTTGCTTGGTTACTGAAGAAAGCATGCAAAAAATCCATTTGAAATGCATGTAAGAAAATGTGCTGCTTTTTGTTGTTTTTGCAACATGTCTGCTCTTTCATGTTAAATTTGCAACTTTTTTTAATCATCACAAATTTACTTAAAACTGTAAATTATTGTTCATATGTTGTTTTTTCAAGTAAATCTCAGATTATATTTCTTATCTCTAAAGTTTTCTTGCCCCAGTCTTTTCAAATGGAACGGCACCAGGGATTGTCTGGTAACCTCGGATTGGCCGCTTTTTCAGTTTAACTGACCAAAATTGGTGATATGCAGGTTAATTGAACAAAATATTCATAAGCACTTGCAAATATCACCAACAACTTTTCTGAGTGGGTCCTCTTTTAAGTGAAAGGATGTTACAGCTAATATAATTACTAGTTTTCAGAGAAAATACAGTGATCTAAAAAGCTGTTGGAGTGGTTGGACTATAACATATCAGATGTGGAGATATGTCTGCCGTTATTCAAGCAATGAGAGATTATCTTCAAGTTGCTGGTGCTGCTATAAATCATTGACAGTTCTTAATGTGAGCAGAAGGCTGGACAGAGTCATTTTCAGTAATGTTCAACTTCTGCTTGATGTGTAACTTCTTGTGCCATATTTCTGGAAGAGAAATACAAAAAGGGTAAAACTGATATCAGCAGGACTCCCGCTCCATGCATAATATGGAAAAGCCTCTGAAAAGCTCTTTCAGTGACAAACTATTGCACCCTAAATGTGCAAAGGAGCAGTAAACGTAGTTCTTTCTCTCTGCAGCTGTCAGACTTTACAATCAGCACCTCTCCCAGAAGACCACGATATAGAGCAATAGTTCAAAATCCCCTGTGTGCAATTTACAGCTAAACTTGTTATATTCCCTTCAACATGCGTACACTTACTTTTTTCTTCTTTTTTTAATCCCTCCTTGAACCAAGCCATACCTTCATATGATATATGATGCATGTTAGCATTTACTGTATATTGGTGCACTTTGGGTGTTTACATATGCATTTAGCTTTGCAAATGTCTATCACATTTCCATTTTCTTGTTTGCTGTTTTTGTATTTTCTTGACCAGAAAAGAAAAAAAAAACTGCACTTTTTGTGATCACCAGTTCTGTGTTTTAGAGGGACAACATAGAGCTTAAGACGTAAATATGGTGCAACTCTTTTAGGCTTAATCTTGAAACTAAATGAACTTCAGCCCTCCTGTCATAAGTCACAGATGTGGCCTTCTCATTCTAAATGGCTTACTAGAGTCTTAGTTGGTTACTCAGTCTCATACATGATCTCCTATAATGTCATCCCTGATTTCTGTGCAGCATGAGAGTTTAATATTTTACGCTCTCCACCTACTCTCCCTGTTACATCAAATAGTTTATTTTATGTAGGTTTAAATAAGACTTGGACTGGGTAGGTATTGTACATTTATTTAAGTGACAAAAGCAATAAGTCAACAACAGGGATGGCCCTTAAGAACAACGGTGAGGGAGACAAAGTCAGGAGTTTATGGAGTGTCGCAGAGGTCAGACTCCCAATGTCACTAATCGGTTTTTTATTAGCTCTGAAAATAAACCAAATAAAATCAATAAAAATAATTAAAAAAAAACAACAACAAAAAAATGATACAACTCTTGTCACAATAGAAAATATTTCTGAATTTCTCTAGGTTTGTAGAATGTATTTGATTTTCAACAATTTCCACATCCTCATTTTTTTTTTGGTTTGGTTTTATGGTTTCTTTAATGCCATTTAGTATCATATGTTTTTATTTATGTTGTTTTGGGCAAATGTGCTCTTTAAAATGTGCACATTCGGAACCTCCACATTTATCCTTGGGGATGTTGGTAATGAGGCATGATTTGGCCAATCTGCATGACCGGTTTCTCAGTTTTTAATGTAATAAATCATAGTATGACATGCTTTCACTTTGTGATTGATCATCTAATTACACATAATCAACTTTTCTCCAAAACCTTCCATGTCAAACTTCAGTGCCACGACATGGGCTAAGATTCATCACCAGAGTAAGTGACAGGTTGTAACAACATGAACTATGACAGAAAGCCGGTAAGGACTTTGATCAACCAACAGTATGCTAATCCTATCAAAACATCCTCCCAATTTGTCCTCTTCTTCAGGATGGTACACAATTTATCTCCACTCTGGGTTTCTTTTAGGTAGTTTGCTACAAGCAGTTTGCTGTCAAAGGAAACAAAGAAAATGAGATGGTTGCTGTGATTTTGTTCTCCATGCTTTAGAAAATGTGGCGCTCTAATGGGTTGGCTAAAATTTAGCAATCGCTTAGGCTCAAAAGGCATGCACCTAATGCACCACTGGTGCCAGCCAAATATTTTTCAGCCAATTTTTGGAATCACGGGAGGGTTGCAAGTATCTGCAAAGCAACTCAAATTTATCAGCCACTGGAAAACCGAATCAAAACAAGTCTGAATGAGGCTTAGCAGAATTCATGTGTGGAATCGCTGCAGGTTCAGCGCATAACGCATAACAGCTGTGTTGACATCCCTGTCAAACTGTCAGTGCTTACTTTCTTTACATATTTAAAAAAAAAACTGAAATGAATTCATTCCATGAATGTATTATCTTTTGTAATCACTTCATTAGGGTAAATGGCACAACAAACAAATGTTCATTTTTGACATATTTTTGCCTGATTTAATTTTGGTTTTTTTTTTTGTAAAGTTTACTTGAACACAAATAAAATAGAGGGAAAGAGATAGAATGAAATATAAATTTTCTTCCCTTCTTTTAAATAAATATTGTTTTAAATAATTTTGAGCTTTCTTCTGCGGTTGGCACATTTTAGAGAAATATATTATACAGAGAGGCAGAATTTATTTACGTAATTTAACTATTTCTTCAATGTGATGAATTTAAATTAAAAGAAATGAACAATGTTGCATTACACTGTCATTAAACAATAAACATAAAGAATGGTCTGAATCAAGACTTTGCATAGACCCTAAAATAAATTATGTCTAAATGAGATATATGCAAAGCCTCAACACTCAAATGTTTCACTTCTCCAAAATATTTGAAAGTCTGCTTTAACTGGTGATCAAATAATGTATCCTAATGTTAAAGATGGAGGAAGGTGATCCTGAAGTGCCATTTACACAAGGCAGCATATCTTCCAATGGGCAGGTACAGCAACATTGTACAACAATCACAATATCTCTGGGACAGAGATAGTAAAAATTGTTACAGCCTTCCCTGCAAAAAAAAAAAAAATATATATATATATATATAAATCAACTTTAATGCTCTGAAGAGTCTTGTTAGTATGTATTGTGGAGTAAGTTCTTAAGGTTCACAGATTATTTTAACAGATGGATTTTCTGCATTGAAAGAAAGTGAAAAAAAAATAATGAGAATATCTAAAAGTTATTTTCCAATTTTGGCTTAAATTTTAAAATGTCATCCATGTCATGAAAAGCATGTCCTATCTTCTAGTTAAAACAGGAATGAGTAAAAATTAGAGCCTCAAAAAACTTTTAACTGCAGACTGCATTGATGTACTTGTACTTGATTACGTACAGTAATCAAGTTCATTTGAAACAAAGATGTTGTAAAAAAACAAAAAAAAAAACTAAATGTGCATAGTTGAAATTTCTTCCTTCCTTGGTCATTTTTCTGACAGACAGACAGAAAGCTTTGCACCTGGATCTCGTCAACATCCCGACTGTCTCTGCCAGCCAGTTCTACGGTAACAGACGGACGCGACATTTGTTACTTTGTCTCCCACATACATACTGTATATAATTCCCACTGCGTCTGCTTTCCTCTCGTGAGTGCTATCTACCTGGGTGGCCGCGTGCAAGTGCGTGCCTCTGCAGGCTGTGCAATTAATTAAAGCACTTCTTTAAAAACAACTGTGCGGAGCCCCACGTGCTGCACAGGTTGCGTGCTTGCGCGGATTTTTCTTCAAGGTGCTGGATTAACACATGAAGGTAGTTAGGGGTCAGCCTGCTGAGCCTGTTGTGAGTTTGGAGAGCCCGCTACCTGAACTTGTGAGGAAAAGAGAGAGAGAGAGAGAGAGAGAGAGAGAGAGGGGGAATGGAGGAGGGAGGAAGGCTGCGCGCTCTTCTCCCGGCAGAGTGCGTCCCGCTCACGCACACTCAACGGGACTCGCTCTGCTTTCAGGCTTGAAGCGAGATCGTCTTCCCCGCTCCTCCTGCTGGATATCGCAGATGAACAGTTTCACCAGCGCAGGCAAACTCTTCCCCGCCCGACAACATTCAGGCTCCGGCGCCACAACCCCACTCTGTTGCCACTAGTCTGTTTGCCTTGGTCACGGTTTCCCACCCGGTCCATTTGGATTAGACCGAGATCACGCTGGGCGCGTAACTATGGAGATCGTGCAATTGTGGATAAAGTTGGCGGTGTGTTTCTGTTGCTGTTTTGGAGCAAGTGCAGATTTCGATGGCAGGTAAGGATCACTTCGATGCAGAAATGACACGTTCGACCTTTTGCACGTTTTGCACCTGAACATAGTCAGCAGGTTGTTCTGTGAGGCTTTCAAACTAAAATACTAGTTTACAATTTGTCGGCTGAAATATCCCGAGGTGTGCTCGAACCGAAGCATCAGTCAAATCCTCCCCAGCGTGTTTGGGAAGACACGCTGCTTTGTCGGATCGGAAGCAATGTTTACACTCGCAAAAGTCACGCCGAGCGGCTCTTGTCTTGTGCAGAGGCTGATTTAAAAAGTGATGAGAGGACACAAACCAGGTGCTTCATGTTCAAACACGATTTCCACCGAGTGTTTGTGAGAAGACGCCAGACACCAGAAGAATGCACCTTTTAGAGATTCCGATCTGCTCGTGGGTTCATTTGAATTAAAGTTGTTTTGTTTTTTTTTGCACAATAATACTGAGATGTGGTACATGTTTCTGCACAGCCTTGTCCTACATTCCTATTTTGAGAAACTGCTTTGATTGACAAAGCATCCAGAGTTCACTTTTGTTTCACTGCTCAAAAGAAGTTACTTGTGTAAAATCAGAACAATACATCACTTCTCACTGACCATATTGAGATGGCTTTGCAGAGCTCAGACACAGAGACTGATTGTAATCCATCCAAATAGAGAAAGTTACACAAACAAAACCCTCGCCAAAGTCTATCTCACAGATAAGGTCACAAAGTAATTATTTTCCTCTCATGTATGTTGCCTCGGTTTTCATTCCCCATGGTAACCACAAGGTTGAACTTATTTTCTTGGGATTTTTGCAAATCTTTGGGGGTGTGCTTCTTTTTGGTTTGCACATCTCCAGAAAGACATGTCTGTCTCTTCTTTGCCAAATTGCTCAACTTCACTCAACTCAAATAGAGAGCTTGTAGAAATATGAATTTTGAAGTCTTGCCTCTGACTTTAACTAAGCATTCCTAAAATGTGAATCTTTGATATAATACATCTGGCTGCATGTGTGCAGTCTTGCTGGAAAGTGAATCTTCACTGTCCAAAATCCTTTTCAACCTCTGACTGTTTTTTTTTTTTTTTTGTTTTTTGTTTTTTTATCTTGTTGGCCCTACTCCCATTCATCCATCTTCCCATCAACTGTGACTGGCTTCCCTTTCAAGAAAACCATCCAGGTTGGTTCATTCTCATCAGAAAGTAATTTGTCAGAAACAGAAGCATACGGGATTTGATATTCAGTATAAAATACGAGGTACTAAATTGACAGCAGACAATTTTGGGCCAAAATCATAGGGAGAGAGCAGGTCCCTCATTTTTTCAAATTAACAGAAATTTTATTTGATGAATATTTGAGCTAATTTTGATTTAAATGACTTCAAAGAACCATGAGAGACACTGTCATTCCACCTATTATTTTTTTTTCACATGAGAAGGTGTGTATGTCGGTTATATTTCAAAGCTGAGCTCCTTCAACCCAGTTTCTGCTTCAAATAAACCCATTTCTGAATAAGCAATTAGGAGATCAAAGGTTTCAGCCAGCCAGAAATTTGTGTTTCTGTGTGAGACAGAACGGAGGAGAGAAGAGGGAAATGGGTAAACATTTGCCAGTGCATACCTGCACATAACAGATGTTTTTTAAGGCTATTTTTCTTTCTAATAATCAGAGCTAATATCTGTCTGACAGGGCTCATCATGAGACTTTATTTCATGAGCTGCCTTTGTGAAATAATCATTTATTTCAACCTTCACTGAGGCATATTGCACATTATTAACATTCCAGCTGATGGAGTGGCTTGTCACCATGCTCATAATTTGCCAATTTTTATGGGTATAAACATGCTCAGACTTGAGTCCCTCTCTTCAATATTAATTCATTGAGAAAATATCCCCAGAGAGTGAGTGCAAGCAAGGAAAACATTTATCACCTAGTTCTGCTCACTTATTGCCTTTTAGAGAGCATTCCTAACAGGCTTATCCATCTGGCCCTGAAGGGTCCTTCACAGGCATCGTTGGTGAGATGGCTCTGCTCTCCCATAGCAGCACACAATATACTTAATATACCTACCACTGCAGCGTTTCCACGACATGAGACTGCTCCTCCGTGGAAGGGATTAAAACCCATCTAGTTGCGTGTCATAACAGAAAATACTTGAAAGTGAAAGGCTGCTTGTACAGTAGAGGATATTCTTCACCACTGATGTCATTAAGTTTTTAAGTCTTGCACAGCCGAATGGTGCATACCAGACATCCTTTGTCATAATCCAAAGCTTGTGAAAGGGTGCCAGGTTATGTAGTGATATCAGATCCACATTTGGACTCTCAGACACGGAAGTAAAAAAAAAAAAAAAGTAGAAAGCAGACTTCAGAGAGTCTACAGAAATTTGAGCACAACAACTCTGTTTTTTGGGTCCACTTTGCAAATAACTGCTGTATGTGAAGGTGTATGACACAATAAAGTATAATATAGAAATTATATTTTTGTGTATAAATATATAAAAAAGGTAAACATAAAATTGGATTTATTTTACATTTGAGAAAAGGGTACAGAGAGGTTAATAATGAGATGTTTTTGCACCAGAGGGCTTGCCTCCGGTTTTGAGATGGCAGCTGGAGGAGTCATGCATGTTTCTTAATGTATTTGGATAATCTCTTTCAAGGTTGAGGAAATTGTCTATGCTCATGGCAGCAAACAGACTGGCACTTCTTTTCGGACCAGACTTTTTCAAACTTTTTCATTTTGTACATCTGCCTCACCATTAAAGGGCAACTTGGCAGTTTGGCTATATCCTGTATAGGCCACAGTCAATCACAATACAACACAGAGGACATGTGTAAAGACAATTTGAAGTGGTAAATTAAAGTAACACCCATGTTTTGGGTAGGATGCTGGACTGTGTGGGGTAAACACACGCGGGCTCTGAGAGAACATCTAATTTGGACACAAAAAGGCCCATGTGGATTTAAACCCAACATTACCTTGATGCATGGTCCTAGTGCTAACAACTCCACAATGAAACCATAAAAAACAGAAAAAACCCTAATTTTAGAATCTTTTCTGTGAACTCCAGAGCTGTCCCTGCAAAATCAATTAGTTTTTTTTTTCTTTTTTATCAATCAATTTGTTCCGTTTGTTTGAGTCACCAGCTCTGACTCTGTTACTCTTAACAGATGGCTGAAAGGGAAACTGTACTCTCCACCACCATCTCAGGGATAACGTATGAGCTTTGAGAGTAATTCTGTTGGTGACAAAACACAGGCTTAATCACAACAGTGTAAAGAAAACACGTTAGGGTGCAGTTTCCTGGACATGGTCCTGTGGTGCTGAGCACCTGCTCCCACGCACCCACTGTCAAAATATTTCACAGAAAAAAATGTAGGGTGTAATTTTCATATTTTGTGCTACATGCTTCTCTAATTGCTTCACTAGCACAATGGCAAACATTGATTCAGATGCAGTCTTTATAAACTTAACAATGTGAGCATACACTATCTTAAGGCTTGCATTTATTTATCGCCACCTTTGAATGAGGAGGGAAAATGGACGACCTCAGTAGGGCTTAAGGGATTCCTTTACAAAAAAATCCATGAATAAAAATATTTAGCCAATATTTCAAATTTGAAAGCATTTATGGTAGTTGGTTATATGTAGTAGGATTTGAGCCCTTTGTCACACAGAGTTGAAATTGAAATAGATGTTTGACATTCATTTCAATTGAGTGACGAGTTGTTTACTTAAATGGTTTTTGTGTGTGTATTTGTAATACTCCTAAAATAAGCTTAAGTAGTTTCTGCAGAACCTGACATTTTGTGTTTTGTCCTATTATTTAGTTAATAGCCAGAATATTTGATTGATAAAATAATCAACTGCAGCCGTAGACGACAGAAGTCACTGAAAGGAAGAAACGGAGAGAAAAAAACAGAGAAACAGGCATTGACAAGATGTGTAACTTGACTGAACAATTTTACTTGATTGTAAATCTCAAAAAATGTTATCTCAAAGAATTGCTTTATCCTCTTCTGTTTCATCCTCAGTTGTTTGGCCTTTGTAACTCTAATCGGCCAGTTGTTGGAACCACTAGTGGAGCTTTCAGCTGACAGTAAAACACAAATGCTGAGGTAAATCTTGCCCTGGTTCATTATAGGCTGCAAGTGCCTTTCATACTCCTGGTACATGATTATTCGTTTGAAGAAAAACAACATAGCCGTTGCTTTAGATGTAGAAAATCTCACAGTAGTTCAGAATGTACATTTGAAGGAACCTGAGAATAAAGTTGTTGTCAGTTAAAGATCAAATTTGAAGTGTGTGTGTAATGTGTGTGTGTATGGATTAGTTGATATTAAATCGTCTGATTGCAGGTATACTTAAACAAATAAAATGATTTTTGTGGCTTAACTGCAAAAAGCTGCATACAATATAGGGAGGATCAGACTGTAAGAAATGTCTCAAGTGCTTTGGTGGAAAAAATCAGTCAGTGAGTAAAAAGCACATCCTTTAAGAACTGGTTGTCATAACAAACATACTTTAGCTGCAACCTAGACATTAGGCTTTGATGTTGACAGTATTTAACTCTTGCACTCAGAGGAATTTATGTTGATGAAACATCAGAAGGTATTTGTTTTGTCATTATTTCAGTATGAGCCTCGAAATAAGCTCTGGATTGAACTCAAATACCTTCTTTTTCCATCAGAAGTGCCAACAAAGGATTAAAATACAGTATTACTCTACCCAGCCAGCTTTTCACTCAACAAATATTCACCCTTGTACAGAAAATTCATTATATATGTCATCATATTTCTCACCTTAAGATAAATCTTTTGCCCCATAATTGTCGCGCAGCCCCGTGGTGCTTCGTGTTAATGTGATGGTCTTGGCCGTGTGTGTGCAGAGTTGGCAGGGCATTCAGCAGAGGTGGTTAATTAAAAATGGTGTGACGCATTAACAACTCCTGCAAGCCTTCAGCTGAGCTCGGCAGGGTGAAATGAGTCTCCCACTCCGGGATGCTACTGTGGCAGGTAATGTTCATGGATGTCCACGAGAACAAACCAGTCAGCTGCTCTTTTCATGCTTCAGGGTATGCCATGGTTGGATTAGACATTGATTAGGTCATCATCACACTGAATACAGACCGTATACTTTCATGGTTGTGATTATCAAGCCCCTTTCTTTTCTGTAAGCAATGCACTAACAATTGTTTACTGTCTAAAGTGAAAGATTGACCTGCTGTGTGTTTCTTAGTAATACAATGGAAGGACAATAGCATCCACATTATTATCAGCCTCTCAGGAAAGAAGCTTTTCTTTTTGACTGTACTTGAGAGGAGGTGTCACAGATCATGCGTGAAGGGTAATAATTATCTGCTTGAGTTCCCTCAAGGCTTTAGTCCAATTTTGGATCATTATTCAGGCCTTCAGAGTAATAAATGCAGGTATTATACTACCGTCAAATTGATATGCCAGTTTTTTATTCAGTCGACTATCACAGAGGACAAGCTGTTCTTCTTTAATGTGCAGTGTCCACCCACGGTTGCCACTACTGACTTTGATTAGTTCTTACCTTTTCATCTGTAAAAGGTCAAATGAGGACCCCGTTTGACATACCAGAACTGTTTCAGACGATACTTTTGGAATCCAGTAAATTAAACGAAGCCATCAGTTTGTGACAGTAGCCATGGGAGCATAAAATATAATGGCATATTCTTTTGCAATTAAGTAGAAAACAGAGGGAAACATAATCCTGTCAACATGTCATCTCTGCTCTTGTCACCTGCATTGTTTAATCACAGCTGTATGTTTTAATATCATCTTGTTCATATATTGACCTCACTGACCTCAATATTGCTTTGTTGTCAAATACAAATAGTTATCTTCGTTAGTTCTTTAGTATTTTATGGTTTCTGACAAAACAAATAGAAAAAGTGTAAGAAAATATCTGGATTTTAAGGCTTAGTAAAACAAATAACAAAATAAAAACATAGAATTAAATATAAAATAATATCCAATCATTGTTGCTGCAGTATAATGGTATGTTTAAATTATGAAAAATCAATATCAGAATCAGAAACTGTGTCTGTTTGGACTCATAAGATGCGATAATTATGGATAGTGAAAATGAGATCAGCAGCTTGTCCCGGAAGAAGTGCGTCTCATTTTGCAGTTTATCTTCACACCTAATATCTGAGCTTATTCTAATTGCTGTCAAGCTTATTTACACCAATGAATGAATACTTGAGACCTTTCAAACACCTTAAGTGACAGCCAGTCTAGACAGCATATTCACACCAAACTAAACAGCATTTTTTTACAGCATGAGCTTGACCTTTCTGTTTGAATTTAATACTTCTTCTAATTTGCTTTCCTTTCTCTTATTTCATGTCCTTTTCAATGTGCTCCTCTCCTCAGTCTGTTTGACTGGCTACCTTCTTTCTCGCCAGGCATCGGGCAAACATTTTCTATGTATCTGCCACTCTCACTTAGTATCCATCTGTTTTTTTTTTTCTTTTTTCTCTCCTGACGTGATTGGCAGCAGGAACAAGCATTAGCATTTCCTCATCTTGGCATGGAGACACTAACGGGCAAGGATGTGCCTTGAATACTGACCCAAACTCCAAACTTTATCTCAGGGGTGCATATAAATAAATCTTCTCTGCTTAGCAGGTTTTTATATATTTTTTAAAGGATTAAATTGGATATTGATTGCTTTCATTTCCTTTACCTGATGAAAATCACAAAAATGCTCCAGACATTATTAAAGGATAATCAGTACTCCTAATTAAAAAAAAAAAAAAATCTTACTGCTTTTATTTTTAGCATTACTGGTAAAATCTCATCTCAGCTCTCAAAGTAAGAAGCTGGGATTTTCTTCAACATCCTTAAAAGGACTCATTCTTTTCTCTCTTCGTGGTGTAGATAAAAAGGTAATCCACTTGTAGTATCTGCCAGGAAGCTATTTTCCAACTGAGCTGGACAGAGTATGCTGTAACAAAAAAAGAAAAAAAAAATCCAGCCATCATAACTCTGAAAGAAATAGACTATCACCTATTTCTGTATAAACCAAATCCAGCACATCCTATCTGTGGCATTAAAGATTTCCTCAGCTGTCATAAAAAGGGCAATGGAGGAAAATATTGCATTTTCAAGAACAGTCAGAATAGCTCATAATCTAGATCTCTACAGTGATGTGCTTCATGTATGCAAGTGTTGGCGCTGCAGCTAATTTCCAGGAGAGTCTGGCAAGCTTTCAGAACACACCTTGAGTCCGCTGTCACACAAACTCACATGATTCGATGTGCTGAAACATCTGCTGACAGGGAGCAAATGATAATCTGCCATATTCAAGCAGTGGAAAATTGTGTCAGTACTCTACATTATATCCATTTAATATATAATTTAATCTATATGTATGTGGTTGAAACCAGAAATGTACATACACTGTATAAAATGACATGCAAACTTACATAGAAACATAATCTTAGATAGATAGATAGATAGATAGATAGATAGATAGATAGATAGATAGATAGATAGATAGATAGATAGATAGATAGATAGATAGATAGATAGATAGATAGATAGATAGATAGATAGATAGATAGATAGATAGATAGATAGATAGATAGATAGATAGATAGATAGATAGATAGATAGATAGATAGACCTATGTAAGAATATTTGTAGATTTTGATTAAACATTTTCAAACTCATTCTTTCTTGAACATTACAAATTAAAATGTTTTCCTTTAAAAGGTATTGATTTTACATGACATTTAAGCTGAAAGAAATTGAGCTAGAAAATGTTATTTTGATCTAACTACAGTTCTAGCGTTTTACCCTAAGGCAGTATTTCCCAAGCCTGGTCCTCAAGCATGTTGTAGGTATTTCCTTGCTTCAGTCCTTCAGTGCTTTCAATTGATGACTGATTAACATGCGTTTGTTGAACTGCAATCAGTTGAATCAGGCACATTAAAGCAGGGAAACCTCTAAAACATGTAGGACAGTGTGCCTTGATGATCAGGATTGGGAAACACTGCCCTAAGGGGAATTTCACAATGTAGTGCAATCTCCTTCAGTTCTTGTAACTGCTTAGATCCTGCAATAAGCTTCATTTCTGAACTAGAATGAACAGAAATATTTTTTTATTACATTATATACAGATACATTTAATGAGTACAACGGCTAAATAGTTTAAATGTAATGGGGAAAAATAAAGAAGTGAATGAGACGCCAGGAATTTCCTGAAATTTCGGGTATGCAACCAAGAATGACAAACCACTTGTGTACTTGGCCATTAAAATGAGTCATATGCATAGGTTTCATAAAATACATTATATTTCAACTATAATCTGCACAACCCATTCATGAAGATTTTTTTCTGCTGTTCCAGGAAACATCACAGGTTTTGAAGTGTCTGTAAAAAGATAATAATAGCTAGATAGTTCTTTTTCGTAACTTACTGAAAATTGATTGTGTTATCCACTCACAGGTGGCCGCGGCAGATGGCATCATCCAATGGCCTGTGCCGATATGGGGGCAGGGTGGACTGCTGCTGGGGATGGACGCGCCGCTCCTGGGGTCACTGCCAGCGTGAGTGCCAACATGTTTGCTGGTGCTTCTGGGGGCTAGTGGGACTAACGAGGTTGCAATGTTTCAAGCTGGGGGCAAAGACACTATTCAACACAAGACGAGCTGTCGTGCAGCACAAACACGCACACACACACACGCATACACACAAATGCATACTGTTACGACACAGGAAGTTGAAGAACTTCCTCGCCTTTATGCAGTCTTACTGTTTCTGCTGTATAAGGCTATAATGATAAAATCATCACATTTAAAATTAAACAGGATCTGGTTTTATATTAGAAAGAAGCAAAAATCCTTATCTAGCATTGGGTGAAGAAAAACAGAATCGCTGCTGTTAACTCAGTACATGGTTTGGGGAGATGGACAGACCTCGATTCCCCAGAAAATTGAGCAACAGTTCAGAGGATGTGTCATATTGTTTTAATATACGACTGCCATGCCACAGGTTTGCCTTGTGTTTTTGTCTTATGTATTTACCATACACACACACTGCAAACACCCTCTGCTTTCCCATATTGTTACCCAAGAAGGGGTGAATACATTAATAGGTTCCACATTTGCATGATTGACTCACAAATGCCTATTCCTTTGCATGGCTTGATGCCTGGAGTTTTTGCTGCTTTGCTTTGGACATTTATTAAAGGATGTGGGCAGTGATATACATAAACATGCCTTTTCCACTGTGGGATATTACCAACCTGCAATTCATGAGAACCGATAAGAAAAAATATGTTTTTTGTTTGTTTTGGACTACAAATGATTACCTCTGTCAGTGTTATGTGTAGCTGCAGGCTTGAACCATTTGGTGCTTGATTTAGCACCATAGATAAAAATGTTAGTTTTCAAGAATTAAAATAATAAAAACTCCATGGACTCCATAAAGATCAGAAAATTATTTGAACAGAATACATTTAAAATTGGCATTATTGATACCAATAATGCTTTAGTTTGTATTTGTTTGGGTGATTCCACATTTTGAGACCAGAAATCTGGACTCTGCACTGAGTCCTATTTGAAAAGCAATATTTTCTTTCTTTGTTTTTCATGTTGGCTGTGTGCTCGCACTCATTCAAATGGAAAGAAATTGTTTAATTGTATTGCTTTTCTTGGATTTCCAAATATTTTTGGTGTATTGTATTAAATTCAAATCATTCCAATACTCACAAGTTGAAAAAGGCTTTCTTGGCATCAGCTGACCTAAGTCATGGGTTAGCCTCCCTGCTAAAATTAACCCATAAATTAATAAATGAATTCATTCATTCATTCTTTCATTCATTCATTCAATTTGATGGTGGTTGTTCTAATTTCTCTTGGATACATATGCCTGTGATTATGATTATATACAAAAAGATATTTTTATTTAATTCAGTCTATTTACATTGCTGCCATTCACAACCAAATAATCAGGGTGCTTTACAAGGCAGACAGGCCCAGTTCATAGTCAGTTGTATCCAATAACGTCAGTAACTCTGTGAAAAAGGAGTCACACCAAAACACCAAGGCAGTGAGCCAGGAATACTTTCTACGAGAAAGATAAATAAAGAGTCTGCAAAACACTGTCAGTAATTCTTGAATGAAGTAATAGATGGAACTATTCCTAACTTAACTATGCTACACTTTGCTATGAGAGTCCAAACTGAGATGCAACTTAAGCTTCAAAACTAAATCGAAAGCAGTACAACCTTCCCCATCCAGTCTCAGAGATGTTCATTTGGACTGATCACACTCGTTGTTCCATCAAACCAAATAACTAGAGTTTAGATGTAACCTTCTTTCTGTGAAAGTAACTCTGGATTATATAGATATGTAAAAAAATATTTTATTTTAATTCACTCAAGCAAAATAAGAAAAAAAAGCCTCTCTTAATTCTCCACTTTCTGGTGTAGAGAGGCACTCGTCTTTTCAAAGTGGTGTCTCATTTGCAGAGACATATAATGATCTGGTTTGTAAAACACATGAGGGTAGATGGAGCAGAGCACTTACAAACTCTGGTTGTTAAGTTCCTGCCAGGGAAAAGGCCGGAATGGGATTTTGCTTGCATGATCATTTTATTAACTCTCTAACTGATAAAATATCCCGTGTCCTTTTTTTCTTATGTTTACATTTTGTTTTACTGTCATATATGTTAAAAAAATCTTCCCAATGTTCTATTTTTAACCCTTTTAGTGTAAGTGTGTTTTTATCCTTTTTTGTATGTCTTCTTTTTTCTGAAAAATATGTCACACTGCTTATTTGGTTTCAGTGGTTACTGAAACGGCTGGATGCAGCGGCTCCATTTTCATATCTCAGGGTCTTGACTAGAAAATCTAGAAAATCTGCGCTAAAATACAATGGGAAAAAGCAGCACTGTTTGGGCCAGACTCAACTGTAGACCTGGCTCGAGGCAGTCCTCTCAGAGCCCAGTGCCTCCCTGTGATATGCACCGGGCTCTTTGCCTTCGCAGCTTCTCATGTTCAAAAAATTCACAGTTGAACAGATGCATTATTTGCTTTGGCTAACAAGACAAGACGAAGATGTATTCATCATTGAAGCTGCTAAGATTACGGTGAAGAGAAAGGAGTTATGTTTTCATATTTAACGCATGAAAATTGTTCGAGTTGCTTTGTTCCGAGAAAGTAAAGAAATGCTGCATGTTTTACCACCAGAGGGGACATTTCTTGGATAATCAAATGCCCTGCTACGTTATGAAGATGTCCTGCTACATTCAGCCCATACAGAAGTATGTGTGCATGTTTTCTTGGTGGTTCTGGAGTCCCACATGTTCCATTGTGAGCAGAAGGAAGCTGATTTTTGACTTAACCACAGATATGCCCTCCACCCCCTCCTCTTAGAGTCAAATCACTGGATGAGTGCTTGCCTTAATGCTTCCAAAAGCTCCTTGCCAGGCACAGCTCAAATCCATTCATTCACAATCAGCATTCCATCAAGTCAGCAAGGTGCTGATTTAAGCTTTAGACGGGTGAGCTGGAAGGTATTGGAAAGAAAGCGAGTGTAATCAGCAACCTGTGTGTGTTTGGCTGCATGTGTGTGAGAGGATGCAGTCATCACAGATTTCAGGTCTTGGTAGGTTTTAGTGGAGATGAAAGAGATTAGATTGGAGCAATGGGATTGTGGCTTTCAGCCAGAGAGCCCAGAAATCAGTTTTACGAAACTCTTCTCAAAGAATGAAAACCTTGATAGATCAAGGATGATTTTTTTTTTCTCCTCAGCTCTAATAGCTAAAAGAGTACTGGGCAGAAAGAACTTGAAGTAAAAAAGAAACACATTTGGTGTAAGGGAAATAGATTAGAGGTTAGAAGTTGAGAGATGATTACTGTTATACTAGGGGAACAATGTCTGAAAATGGACAGAAACAGAAAATCAGGCAGATGGAGAGAGAGAGCATGAAGCTCTCAGATTTAGGAAAGAATAAAGCTTCATTCATGTCATTCTGACAGACCATCAGTGAGGATAAGCCACAGATGAAGCTCTCTTCTAACCAAATGTTATCACATTTTATCTGCCTCAGGAAGAATTTGACTATTTGCATATAAAAATCTTAATTTTTTAAATAAAATCTAAACCTCTTTCTCACGGAGATTAAGCTGCATCACTGTAAACATGTCGTTGTTAAACTTTTGTTCTTCATCTGTGATAAATTTCACAGATTAAATAGATGAAGTGTGGGCTTTTGGTGAGTTTATGAGCCACACGTTAACTTATATGATTTTAAAAAAGCATCATCAATACATAAAATTAATAAAATCTATCATAAATTCACCTTGTATTAAGTACTTGATAAATAAATGTATTTGATCCTTTAACAAATAAGCAGCAGCTTATTTGGATTTAAAGTGACAAAGAGCCTTAAAAGTCTTCAGAATGTATTGAGCTCATTCTGAAAGGAGCTCAAAACAGGCAGAAGTGACCAGAGTAAAATCTAATTATCCAAGAATGATTGAAAATATGAACATGTTTTGCATAGCCAATAGATATATCCTAACCTGTTCAAGGAAGCGTAATAGTTCACCTCTCAGCTAACATCATCATATTTTTATTTTATTAGATTTCTTTCTGCTTATTAAGGTCAGCTAAAATGTGCAACTGGTTTTAAGCAAATTTAACAAGTAATCCTGTAATGTTCTAAAAAGCTTCAATCAATGCTTAAACATAATAAGGAAAGAAATCTGAATTATGCACACACTTAAGCATAATTATGGCTCACTCATAGAGATTAGTTTCAGTTTCCATTAAGCCATTTGGAGTCAGTGTGGAACAATGGGTGTTAGCAACACTGAAATGGATAATCAAAAGATAATCGTTAGATCATTTTAAGCCTGTTTATTAGATTGACCAAAATCTTTAGAGGAGGAACCACATTCATTGGTGTAATCATTCTTTTTTCACAGCTCTAATCTGTTGAAATGTAGTCAAATAATGGGGATTTTACTTCAGCACATTCACATTGCAAAATAGAAAAAAGAAATGAACCTTTGCTGTCACACATGGAGAATGTGAGTGATTTAAGTCTACATTTTCAACTAGTAGATACATAAATCCATTAAAAATGGACCATGGGTAAAATGCATTGAAAGCCCTCAATATCATCAATCCTCCTACATAAGTATATCTCTTGTCACTTACTTACATGGTTTGCGCTATTTTTATTTCTAAATATGTTATAGAAATGATCTGCATGGGAAAAATAAATAAATTAGAGCTCCGAGTTTGTCTGTAAAACGTTGAAGAGTTTAGCAAATTATGACTGCCTGCCCGCTAAGGACTGTTATATAAATTACTTTACCTGCCTCCATGAACTGTGAGCATCAATGTTGCATTCAGAGATATTGTAGACAGAAATATTACTGGAGTAATTTCCCACAAGGGTCTTGGGGTTGTTAGGAAAGGTTTTAAAAAGAAAGTGATGTAAGTCAAAGTCACCATAATATACCTTAACATTTCGTCTGGAATGATACACAACATAATGATGTCCTTCCTGCCTTAAAATGTCTGCTCTTTGTACAGTTACACTGTATGATTTTTACTTGGTATTGAAAATGAAAACACATTGCATTAATAGCATTAATAACACATTTCATAGAATTATCTTCTCACAGCAAGTTTGTCAAATTTTGGTGATAGAACTGAAAAATAACAATGTTGGATGACATCCAGCATTTATGTAATTGTTCTTTGTGTCTTTGCAAGTAAATGTGTATTGCCAGTATATATCCAAAGTTAACTACTCCTTAACTTTTTCTACACTACTATAAAGGTAAAATATGGATGAATTTCCTTTAATATCTGAAGGAACTGGATTTAATATCTCTGAATTAAATACATCAGACATAATTTCCCCAGAGGTCCTGGTGGATTTTACAAATCCCCGAAGATCAGGACTTAGTTTGATTGAGTGCAGGCTTTGTTTCTCTAGATGCTGTGGGCTGGATTAAAGCAAGTCTTTGAATTGGTAATGTGAGCTAACAAGTGAGCAATGAAAGGAGAAAAGTGAGACCTCAGATTAATTCTTTTTATCATTATTTTTCTTAGTAGTTTCTTTCTCTGCTAAGAGCTTGATTGTGAAAGTTAAAGGAAATGTGTACAGTGAATGAAGGCTCATATAGTATGCACTGCAAAAGCATCGGTGTTACTGAAATAAAGCTGACAATACTGAAATAAAACTTTATGTTAATGTTGCATCATAACATTATGACACAACTGAAATATGTATTCATTATTGTTAAACTTTTAAATTCATCATTACACTTAAGTGAAACATTTGTTTACTTTTTAGTAATTTCTCTGTTAGATTAAGAAGCATTACGTGATGTACGGTGAACATCACTTCACTCCATGTCTGTGGAAACAAAACAAGAAGTAGGATACATGTAAAAAAAACAACAAAAATCAGTGTGATTTACCAATGAGTCAAACAAAAAATGACATGTGGATTCTTTTATTTCAAAAACTATGGCCAGATTGATTGCTGTATTAAATCTGAGAGTTACATCCAGAAATGTTCTTCTGAAAGAAGAAAGATGAATTATGCAGATATTTAATTCCAAATCATGGATTTTCTTTTAGCAAAAATATGAACAGAAGGTAATTTCCCATGGTTTTAACCTCGACAGTCCTGTTGTCCTATGTTAAAGTTAAGATTAAAAGAAATTTATGTGAACATTAACATTTGGGTTTTTGAAGATTGAGATTTTAACACAACCTTAAATACCTATTTTTTGAAACAATTTACTGAGTCCGTATACATTGTGTCCAATCCCAATCCAAGCTGACTAATTAACTAATTTATTATAATTCGAGACCTAAACATGAAAATACTTCCAGACTTTGCACTTTGATGGCTTCATAGTGTAACCCCCATTTCTAGCCTTTCTAGCATCTCCCAGCTCTATTTTGTCACTTTGGGTAGCTGCAGGGTGAGTCAACTCCAAATCTTTTGGGATGTGTGATTGATAGGAGTGGAGCAGGGCAGGGCCGCATGCGCATGCAGTGTGCTGCGCTTGTTACAATCTAATTAACTTCTGCATCTTACTTTCTTTCCCCACTGCCTCCTCCTGTAATGAGACTGTAATAGGTAGACAAACCCTTTCGCTGTCATGATGACACTGTTGTCCTCATGGTCCCACTGACTTCATTATAAGTGTTTTGGGAGTGGCACTACTGTGTATCTCGCATTCTCATTTAGTTTCCCGTCTGCTCTATATAATGTAGGCTTATTAAAACTGCACCACAGAAGCCCGGGCTGTGGATCGAACTTTGACTTCTGTGGGACACTTATTGTAGATCTAAACTCTGCAACTTTGACATGGGCCACAGGAAAGAACTGCTTTAGTCGGCAGCTTCTTACATGTTAATGGCTTTCAACAACCAATCAAAATGTCATGTGGGATGTTGTCTCTCCAGAAACAAAAAATAAAAACAAAACTGTAAAAACACAGAGGTATGGCATGAAAAGAAATGGATTATGATTGGAAAAACATTAGTTTGGGCCCAGGTGATAGCTTGAAAGGCATGAATTTGTGCACAGAATAATACTGCACTTAAGCATCTAAAAATGTAGCTTTCATTTCTATATTTTGTCACTCAAATGTTCAGGCATTCGGAAAGTTATTCACAATCAGCATTTTGACTGTTTCAAATGACTCCCTTTTGACAGAAAACAGGGAATATGTGTGACTCCAGAACTCCAAACTGTGCATGTGTGTTTCTTCCAAGGCATGTTTGTTTGTGCATAAATTGAACAAAATGTGCTCTCTTAACCTTGTTGTTGCTTGTTTGTTGTGTTCTCCCAGACACTAAGTAATCCCCCCCATTTTTGTGTGTATGGCTACTTGTTTTGCAGCTCTCTTCGCCTTAACTCACAGAGTAGTCGGGATAAGGTGCCAGCCCCAAGGTTAGCTTCACACATTTTTTTTTTGCAATACCCTAACTAGATATGCAACGCTGGGGGCACATCCTCTGAATCATGCACTTGCTCATTTATTTATAGCCTACCACTCCCCCCTTTGAAGCACCAAGTAACACCTCACTCCTCTTGGCAGCAGCCAACGTATCTCTGGAGTCAAATCTATGAAAATAAATTAAAGTGTGCAGGCCACATTTTGTTTAAAACCTGTCTAGTATAAATTACGACTGTTTTTAGGGGATCTATCAATATTTAATTGCTCGTCTGGTCAGCTTGTTCTGATATCAGTCTGACCCTAAAAGCATAAACTATGAAATGTTTAATTAATATATTAATGCAGCAATTATTAAAGAATAATGCTGATCGTTCTAGATTTTGTATGATAAGGTTATAAATTAAAAGTTGAAGTAAAATATATATATTTTTTTCACTTACAGTTTTTCTCAGTCGTTTTCTCAGAACAGAATTTAAATTCTATTCTAAAACTATTTGTTTGATCTTCAGAACCAAAATGCAGATTAAAAAATAATTTTCTCATTCCTTGGAGCAAGTTGGAAATGCTTTTGTACATCATGCAAGGCATTATGTCAAATTCTCTACTTTTTTTCTGCATTATTAGTTACTTTTATCATGTTGTTCAAAATGTATTACACAGATCTCTGTGGAACTGTCTTGTCTGCCACAATATTTAAGCAGTGTAGCAGTCCAGTTAAAACATTAGTTGTGTTTTCAAGTCTGAACAAAGCCAAGGTCTGACTGACTAATGCTTCCTACAGCAAAGCTCTTTTCATTTCCGTCTAAAAATGGGTCCCTTTTTAATTTGTAACTGTAAACTCTTGAAACACAGTGTGTGGACATCGAGGCTTGTTCCACTGGGTTCTCAAAGTGGCTTAACAATGCCTTCATTCTTTTTGATTACATAGCTCAATAAAGTTGAATGAGTCTGAAGATGCTATCTACTCCTGTTTAAGGACTCTCCTCATCCCCTTGTGCCTTTGAATTTGGTTTGAAGAATTGAACAATGCTTCTTTGTCAGTAAGTGTACGTCTGTGTGTGCGCTAAAGTCGATTCTACACATCCATTTTATTTTATGAATAGGCTGCTAAATATTTAAAATGGCATTGTGTTGTGACTGTATGTTTTGAATTTAAAGAGTCTTAATACAAAAGGTCTAATGAAGGTTCTGTTGACAATTTTAATTGTATCAACATTTTATCATCTTTATAGTAACTGTGTGCACATTTAAAATACTGCAAAGGAATGTTTCAATGACAGTGAATGGTATACTATTATATTTCAATTCAACCTCATGCTAATAATACACTTGGTCACGAGATGAACTCTCACTGCCCTGGATGCCCATACTATTTTAGATACTTGTGGATGAAATGCTAAAGAGAAATGTCAACATAGATACAGGCGAGGCCAGTCAAACAGGCAGTATTCAGCAATGAAACTTGCATGTCATAAGCTGACTTAATGTTTACCGTTCATCACAGTAAACCAGTTGCTGAATGTACCAGAGCAATGGAACCATAAGTTTTATGTTTTTGCATATGTTTACGTATATTTTTTTTTATTAAAAAATGCTTTATTCGGATAGAACTGATCTGAGTTTAAAATGATTTAGCTCCTTTTTATACTTCACTAAGCTGTAGTTTAGTTAACTTTTTATTGAGGAACATTTCAATTGACACCTTATGTGCTGAGTTCAATAAAAAGCAAGTCTGAACAAATTAATCTTGGAATGATATGCCCACGTTAAGCCACTTGGGTGAAGTACCATAAAAAATCTTCCTTCGTAGTGCAACTGCCTCTCTACCCTGGATTTACACTGCATGCATCCATCCACCAATGTGACTTGTGCTCCAGAGCAACTTATAGTTGCAATATTTTTTCATTCATTTCTACATCTGTTTTGTTTATGGATGACTTGAGAACAACTCCTGCCAAATGGAAAAAATGTGCTAACTGTTTTTGTCACTCTTATCATGGAAACTTTATGCTCACAAACACCAATGAAAATATCAGCAATCTGCATGCTGAGTTATTTACCATAGCTTTGAGATACACTCTGTTGTGTTCTCAACCATCAACTTAGGGGTGTTGTGGCTGTTTTGAAATTTGTATTTTCAGGTATGAAAACAGCCTATTTGGCACAGAACATTTCCTACCAAACAAACTGGCCTGTAAAATGTTCATTTTCTCATAAAACCCATCTCTTGCACCGGCCTTGTGTTAACACTGGGAATGCTTTATTGAAAAGTTTCTCGTCTAGGGATGCACCAGTATGAAAATGTATTTATGTAGAGTTTTAATAGAGCTGTAAAGACCAACCATAATATATGCATAATAACAACATTATGCATATATTTCTATAATCTTTCAATAATGTTTTGCTTCAATGACACTCTGTAATGCTCTACGCCTCAAATACCACCTTTCCAACGCGCTCTCTACTCTTTCTCAAATGCATGCACAAAACCAAGATGAAAAAACTATAATTAATAACTGTCCAGTTTTACCCACAATAGTCAATAGGCTGAAAAATGACTCATGAATCTGATATTAATGTCAATATTTCCTTCATCAACAGTTCTATCGGTAACAGATGTTTCTCTACTTTAATTTTTGTTAAAATAAGCATGAAGAAGAGATGCATTTTTACATTATGATAATATATCCCATAAAAGACAATAGATTTTTTTTTCTTCCACTTGAACCAGGCATCAGACTGCAAAGCAAAAAAAATAAAAAATAGTTACAAAATGGAAAAATGCTGCCCAAAAATCTGCTGCTACTTGCAGGCTCAATCCTTGTTAATCCCTTTGTTTAAATGACAATTTTGTTATTTAGTTATCTACAAATTTCAATGATTTATTCCAGGATGAAACAGACTTGCAACTCTTAAATTAAAAATGCTTTTCGTTTATTTAGCTAGTACAATATTTCCTAAGAACTGGTTAAAAAATTTAAGTAGAAAAAAGGCTCATGTGACTCCACTGCTGCGTTTACTTCACAGTCTGCTGAAATTGAGTTTTCAAATGTCCTGTTGTAGAAATGCCAGACGTGGAGCTCTACAGAGACGTAAAAAATAACATTTAGTTTTAATTGGTGTGGTTGTTCACCCTGAAGTAAAAAACACACATCAACAAAAGCCATTGATTGTTCTAAATGCTGCAGTCTGAATTCTGAGCATCTACTTCAGCTGAATGGAAATTTCTAAGCGTTGCAAACTTGAAGGTCCTTCTGATAAAAACAAGTAAAAAAAAAGCAAAACATAAAATATGCATGTAGCAGATTGATTGTAACACCTGCTTGTGATATTTAAACGCATCAGCAGCAAATTCTATTGCTGCAAGGAATCACAGGAAGTCCGACAGATTTCACCACAGTCCCTTCCTCTCTTCCTCTTTAATTCACATAACTATGCATGGACTCTTTTACAACAGTGACAATTAAATCCTCTGATGGCTGCCTTTTATGGCATAATTAATGGAGCTTTTTAATGAAAATTAGTACCACTTGGCTCTATCAGACATGCTCAGCAGCAACTGCAGTGAGTCCAGACAGATAAGCAGGGCAGGCCTCCAGCTCACTAAGACTGAACACTGAATCAGTGAAGCTGTAAGGCTTCATCTTTGTTCAGACTCAAATTATCAACCTTTGCGCACAGTGGAAAATCTGGAGGGCAGCTCTTTACTGAGGAACTAATTAAAAGCTTCTATTTGGGTGCTTCCATTGTTTCAGCTTCAGACTCATATCCAAATATCCTCTTTGGTGATTCCTTGTTAGCTCTTTGCCAGTGTAAATATCATTGCTGGGTTATGAACGAGCAAGTGAATATTTCATTTGGTGTTAAAAGGTCAAACTTCTCGCTTATCACCTGCAGGGAGACATGATTTATTTTTACAAGATCATTCATAGCAACAAAGGCTGGTGTGTACATCGTGTTTGGCTGAAAATGATTTCTCCATTTCTATTAGTAAATTACCACCACAGAAAAAGAAACAAAACAAGTACATTTCATATGTCATTGAGGCATGGCGCTGCATCATTGTAGAAAAATTGTGGCGTAAACAGACCGTTTAAAATCTGGATGTTTTAAAGCAGGAGGACCGTGTCCTTTCCCCAACATTATCTGGTACAAATTCTCTGTCGGGACGCTGCACTGATCTTTCTTTTCTTCTCTGAATCCTTTCTGAACAGCTGTGTGTCAACCTAGCTGTAAGCATGGGGAGTGTGTGGGACCCGACAAGTGCAAATGCCAACCAGGCTTCACCGGCAAGACCTGCAATCAAGGTGAGTTCTCTCAAAGTGCTGTGGAAAATCTTGTGTCAACTGATTTTGGCACAAATCAGTTGACACAACAGGGCTGTTAACAGGACATGGAAATAGGGAAATGTACATTCAAAGTAAAATGGGTGTTCTACCACACGGCAGTCTTGCAAAAGTTTTCTTAACCTAATTAAGTGAGTTATATTAACTTCAAGTTTTTTACTACTTTTATTGGTAAAAATATTTTCTATCCAACGAAACCCAACCCATTACATTGAGTCACTGAGTCGTGTTGGGTGACAATGTAGCAACAATGAGCAGTTAATTGCATTGACTTCTTAACCTTGCAGTCATCCCTGATGTTGACCACGAATGTACCAGGAAACAGCCAAAAAGCTCTCTGGCACATATCTGAGAATGACTTAACCAAACTTCAGAAAATCACTCAGAAACACATCAGGAAAAACACTCTGAGGTCCAATCAGAAATGAAAAAGACAAAAGTGAAATCTAGGCTAAGTTTAAGGTTAATTTGATTTGCATGCAAATGATAGGTCGAATTCAGCTCGTTTTCTCTAAAACAAAAATGACATATTGTATTCATTTCAAATTTATTTGTTTGAAAAGATTCCGAAAATCTGTTACCTTTTTTACACTTAAAAAGTGGTCCAAGCACAATCCTTCACAAACACTTTGCACAAAAGTTGCTAGGTCTGCATCATTCATCACACAAAAACCTTTACTAATTTAGTAGCAACTTAGGGACTCTCAACAGCTGCTCCAAACAGCTGTTGAGAGGCCCTAACTTTGGTAGGAGAATATTTTGACTGGATTATTGTTAGGAGTGCACCACACACGTCTGAAATAACAAGAAAAAAATCCATAGAAGAAGTCTCTTCTTCAATTCATTCTAGAAGAGACTTTCTAATAACCAAAATGTAGCTAGAAAATGGGTGCTGGAAGACTAACAGTATATCACTATGTACAGATCAACTACATGGAGAAAAGTTGTGGTCAAAATGTTTATCAGTGGGGACAGGGAAGCTGGTCGAAGTTGATGGGATGATAGATGAAACGAAATATGTGGTTGTCCTGGAGACAAGCTGTTAGCGTCTGTAAATGAACTGATTCCTCTGTGGAGGTTCCCCTTTCTCCAGGACAACAATTCTAAACATCCAGCATGAATGGAATGGTTTAGATCAAACCATATTCATGTGTTGGAAGTTTCCAGTTAAAGTGTTTGCCGAAAACCAATTCACTATCTGCAGCAGGACATGAAAATTTATTCTCTACAGAAGCTCTCTGTCTAATCTGACTGAGTTTAGATAAAAACAAATTCTCTTTAGACATGCAAATTTTGCCAAGGTATTCCCCCAAAAGAGTGAGTGTTACATTTTCAGTAGACTCAGTTCTAAAATATAAACTGAAAACCATAAATAATTTCCATTCTTCTTTGCATTATTCATCACTTTGTGTTGTGCTTCAGCAGAAAAACCTTATAAAATACAAAATTAAAGTTTGTGTTTGTAGTGAGACAAATATGGGAACATTTCTCTGGGACGAAATATTGCAGTGAAGCTCTGTACAAGTATATTGTCATGTACATTTTTCACTCGGAGCACAAGTGAAGGACAATTCCAGCTCCAAAGAAACAGCAGCGTAATCAGTGTGTTTTGTGGCGAGAGCAGGAGCCCAAGCCGGTTTTCCTTTAGCTGACAGGAGTGAGGAGCTTTAATCACAGGGGAGGAGGAGCAGAAAGAGCGCTGATTCAGCTTGAATGGAAACGAGAGCAGGCTGTGTTGAACGCATTTTACCATGTGAAGATAATATCTCAATTACTGATGTGTGATAAGTTGGCTTAACAAAGTACAACAGATGCTAATTAAAGTGTCTCTCCTGGAGTATGTGCATGTAGGTTTTGGGTATTGGCAGTTTGGACATGTTTTAAAGCATCGAAGCTCCTCGGTTGGCTGTTCGTTGACGTCCGAGCTGCTTTAAATTACCTGTGGAATTCACGCCCTGAGACAGGAATAGGATAGTGTGTAATTAAAAACAAGGAAGGAGGAGGAGGGCTCGTTGAAAATCCTTTCCGGAATGTTCCAAATGACTCATCCTGCATTTCAAGGCTATTGGCGTCTCGTCTCTGCGGGCCAAGATGGCCCTACTTTGTCTTGATCTGCAACAAAAGGGAAGAGGAAAAAGGATCTGCATCCCATATTCAGCTACAATAGACATTGTTTCCAATCATTTAGAGAATGTTATTTTACAAATGCGATCCAAGTACATTCAAGGATGAAGCAGTAGAATCTGTAGATGTTCTGTAATTCCCAGTTCGGCAGCAGACATAGTCAGATTTAGATGTTGAAACTGACTCTTATTGAAGCGTCGGATTTGACCTTTCAGTCTAATGCAAGTGTTTCTTGTTTGATTTCATGTAATTCAATTGAAATTATTACTAAAACATAAGAGATTAAAAGTTCTCATTAAAATGCAGCCTCTTCAGACATTGATTTAAACTCCACTATTGATGAGCCAGGTGGACAATAATTAGAAGTATTGTAAAATAGTTGCACAGATCTACTTATCTGACCAAGTAAAACCAGGGGAGAGTTTTTTTGTGAGACAAACAATGTAAAACACATATTATCCATCCATATGTTAAATGTTGACTCTCAAGGATTTATTTTGACTATGATTTTAAATCAAACAATGGAAACCAAACTTTCAAATAGCGATGTACTGATCAGAGGCTTCTGGGGATTTCCCACCTCTGGTTTCTGTTTTTTTTATGAGGTTTTCTGCCACAATCAATCATAAATTACACATATTTGGAATAGAGGCAACATCACACAGCATATGGGAGAGCAGTAGCAATAAAATAAATTGCACTACTCTTTTATAAAAAAAAGAAAAATGATTATAGTTCAAATGGGAAATTGTCGTCTATGTTCTGTGGCATAGAAGAACATTAGTTATCTTACTTTAACTCAGAGATTCCCAGAATTCTGTAAACCTACCTAATTTCAGACTGTTTCCAAGACAAACTTAATAGCCCTTGAACCTTTTCACATTTGGTCACATTTCTAACACAAACCTCAATATATTTAATTGGGATTTTATGTGACCAAAGGTTGAAGTGAATGGAAATGTTGGCTGAGTTTCCAATATATATGTTGGATATATTTCAATATTTGCTTGTTTCATTAAGCATTTACGTACTTGTGTAAGGCAAAACTAATGGTTTTCTGTCAATAGACTAATTCAGCTAACCACTGGATCTATGCATCTCTTCCAGAGTTACTACAGGCAATTGTTTTCGTAGGGAAAGTTCTCAGGGTTATGGGTTTTTTTTTGTGCACGGATTCTTTCAGTGAAATAAATTTATCCACATAACCTTTTCAATTCTTTTCACAATTATGCACTACTTTGCATTGGTCCAGCACAAAAAATAATGAGATGAGTCACAGTGATGGACTTAAGACAGTTTTTATTCACGCAGGAAAACATTCAACAAATGTTGTCACTGTTAAAACATAAAAACTCTGCACAAATCATCTTAGTTTCTCACATCTGAATATGTTTTGATCACAAAGGCAATTTGCAACATTGACATCCTTAATGAAATGCCATAAGGTCATTTGTAGTTTGATAAATGATCAACAAAACTTGTAGCTGTAGCCATCCCTTGTCTGATTTCAGAAAATGAATACTTCTACTTCTCCACACAGGAAGTTGCGTTGTGCCTTTTGCTCTCTTAATTTTACTTCCAGGCCAGTTTATTTTAAAAAGAACATCTATAAAAATATAAATAGATATTTTTTAAAAAAATATTAAGCCAGTGCATTATTGCAAGTTTTATTATCACTTTAAAAGCTTATAATTACAAAGCCCTTTTGTCCTCCTCCACATTTTCTGCCAATTTTGTAGCTGTTCAGCTAAAAAGGTCATTCCATGTGGGTTTTATTTAAATACCTGGTGCTGTATGAGACTGAAGTTTCCAGTAGAGAAATAAGAGGGCAATTATTTGTAATAAATTGGAATCTGCATACATAAACTTGCTACTTAAAGATGTTGTGCTTGACACATTCTCGCAGGTTTAAGTAAGACGTGTGGACAGATGCGTCACCCTGCAGGCTTTCTGATTAACAAGCATGCCAGACACCTCTGGAGCATTGCTTTACATTAGGCAGGATCAAACCACATGAGGATTTATTGCTGTTGAGACTAAAAACAAGCCCTATGTCATTAATATTAATTTCTTTCAGAGTCAAGTTCTGAGAGATTTGACTTGCTCTTCTAAAGGACTAAATGGGATTTTTAAATCCTGTGAATGGATTATATTTACACAAATGTCATTATGTTCATCCTTAAACTATCAACCACTCTGCTGTCAGGATTAATACCCACTGCACAAGGGCAGTAAAACCCTATCAGTCTTTTAAGAAGGCATTTCATCTCTCCAGCATAGAGAGGGAGGAGGAGAATTGCTCCTGTCGAACACTTTGTTGAGGATATACGACTGTGCTATTGCTGCACAAATAAACTCATTACGGGATAATCTGTGCAACAGTTTGGCAGCACGCCCCTACCGCCGATCTCAGCATTTTTAATAAGATCATTATTGCATCCAGGTGGATTTAATTAGCTGGTGTTGACCTGCTGTTTTGACACAATTGAACGACTTTTCTGGGAGGGATGAAGACACCATTCTTCTCTTACATCTCATCCGTCAGCCAGATGAGCTGTAATTAATGCTTCTTCAAGAATGTCAGCTTAGAGCTGTGGCGTACATCTTCAAATAATTTGCTGTATTATTTTTAGAATATTACCTAATATCCAGATTATTCAGTGGTTTACTTCTCCAAAGACTTGGAATTGGTTTAGGAACAGATCCCTCTGTGTTACTGTTTTTCTAACTGACCATCTGCTGGCTACAGCTGCAAGTGTTTTTGAGCATTGCATGGATGGAATCTATTTATTTGCCCCTTGTAGCCACGCAAGTTCATCACAGTCACGTCAAGCTTTAAGGCATCATCTCAATAAAATAGAATGTTGCAGAAAAGTTATTTTACTAAAGTAATTTAGTTCAAAAAGTCATGTAAATACAACTCATATAATACACACAGTAGCTTCACCACATGCACTGTTATATTTTATGTGATGATTACGGCTTTCTGCAAATGAAAAACAAGAAATTTTATGTCGCACAAAATTGCAGTATTATACAAGAACAGTAGAAGCTGATTTGCAGTAAAAAAAAATATTGTAGTAGTACTTTTGCTGCTGTTCAAAAGTTTAGGAGACCATCATTAACCTCCTCCTCCAGATGGGTGAAGCAAATAGTAGCTGCTTTTTCACAGACTGCTCTGTCCATATTCCCAGAATAAGGGAGCTGAGCGAGAGAAAACTACACTCAACAGTTTGTTCAGCAATTGAGCCTCAAATTTCAGACACTACTCTGGATTGATACAGGAATCCATGCAAAAGAATATATATGCATAGGTGCTTTTGTACAGATTTGTATGACGTGCTTTCAGTTATTTTACCCTATTCTACAGGCAAAGTGCCACGGTGAAATTTTGCCTTTTGCAAATATATGAAAAATAGATCACTAACATATTTACATAATTATTCAGATTTGGTCCAAGTAGCAGTCTCAAGTCTCCACGGTCATGATCTCATCAGTTACCTTTTGAAGTTTTTCACATTGTTCTCTGCAGAAACATTAAAGAACACACAAACCGGGGAAGAGGTCAAAGCATGCTCAGTTTCTTGTTTTTTTAGGACAGGAGGTGTAGAGTCCGACTGTGTTGCTGAAGACTTTCAAAGTCTTTTGTTTTACTGTTTGTATCTTGAGGGCCAGAAGGGATTTTTTCTTTTTTGCACCTGTGTAAGCAATCCCCTGTTATGCTAATTGCCTGACTATTATTGCTTCCTAGCAAATAAAGTATGTTTTCACTAACATTTAGGTACAATTTCCTTGAGTTATATTTAAAGATTCTGCAGATTGTCTCACTGAATATTAAAACATTCGTCCAACATGAGATTCTGAGCACTTTGATGAAGGTTTTCATTCGAGGAAGTCTAATATTTGTCTTCAGCCATCTTCCCGCAGTGCTAACAGCCAGTTGTCAGAACTGTGTGTAGAATCACAATACTGTTTAATATTGTTTACAAATAAAAAAACCAAAAACGTATGGCTTGGGTTTTGAATTTAGCTCAATCAATAGTTCATGTATCCATCTTTTGCTGCAGTGACAGCTGCAAGTCTTTGTGGGTATGTTTCCACCAAATATCAAATATTTCCAGCCGCTGTTGCACATTCTTTGCTGAAAAACACCTGGGTGGATTACATCTATAGAATTGAAATGAAAGGCAGTAGTTTTCAATTCTTGCCTCAGCAAAAGGTTAAGTCTTTTACAGCCACTGTAATCTGTCCTGGAGTTTGATACCACTGTCCTGCAGTTTTTAGATGTGCCACAGATGCAAAAGACTGGAAATACATGGCTTAAATATCTCCTGCTTTTGTAGCTCAGTTTTCCAGAGCCTTGCTAATGACCTAATTATTCTATTCAGGTGTGGTGCAGCAGAGGCACATCTAAAAGTTGCAGGCCAGTGGCCATCAAGGACTGGAGTTTGACACCTGTGCTCTATATCCATTTTTCTTTTCTTGGATTGCCTTGAATTGAACTTTTTCATCTTCCCTTGTGCCACTTTGAGTTTCTCCATCACTCCTGAAGGAAATAATTCCCACAGCATGATGCTTCCACTAAAAGGTTGGGTGTTCAGGGAGAATTCAGATTGTTTATTTCCTCAGTGCCACATCCAGAAAAACAAGAAGCAATGGATTACATTTATACCAAAATTTGTTACGAGTTCCTATAATTATGCCAATAGTGACTTTGTAAAAAAAATCCTAATGTGGAATTATGTTTTTACCATTTAATAAATGTACTTAAATTAAAGTTTTTTTTATATATTGTTAAATATTAGATTATACCACTGCAATTAAAGATGAAGTCACTATTTTTAGTTTTTTTTCCTTGTTCTTTTCCAGGAGTTCAGGTAGCTGTGAAGGGGGAGATATATTCTTTCAGAAAACGCATGACTTTTTATGGAGTACAATCCATAAAAAGTCATGGAGAATGGCAGGATGGTGTCACGTTGACGAAGAGCAGAGCGTGAGCCATCAGACTAAGGGATTGTTCATTGATCACGTCAGCATCTTGCAGTTAACCTCAGGGAGATTTCTTTGTCTGGACATATTTACTCTGATCTTACCACATAATCCTGCAGAATCTGATCAGTGGAGATTGTGCCAAAGAAGCTGCTTTGTTTCCCTGTTTCATGCAATGTAAGATTTGTATCCTATAACATGTGCATCCTAACAATATGTATATTTCTATACCTACAGTTAAATCCAAATAGAAAAAGCTCACTATAACTTACTTGTGTAAAGCCATCATCCACCTAATGAGCTATGAGCTTCAGTTTTAAAATTAGGGTAGCAGAATGTTTTATTTTTTTTATCTTTGCATTGTACAGACAAGGTAAAATGTGGAAGAAAGTGTTTTAATCAGATGTGACCAAAATGAATGTTTTTGGTGTGGATATGACAACTGTGTTTCACAGAAACTCTAGCATTTCAGCACATCCCTCAACACATCACTCCCACAGTGAAACATGGTGGCCACTGTATCTTGATGTGAGAAAGTTTTCCCTCAGCAGGCTCTGCAATTGCTCTGCACACAGCCCTGCAGCATCCTGGCACCTAGCTTAGGATGCTATTCATGGTCTTTAGTTTGGCATTCAATACCATCTTCCCAGACAAATTGACGGGATCAGGGTCACATTGATGTTGAAAACTCCTCTCTATCAACTTGACAATTCCCGAAGACAGGCATGTCGCAGGGCTGTGTGCTCAGTCCCGCTCCTTTCCCGTGATGCACAGATGAACAGCTATCTATTCCTCAATATGTTGCTGAAGTTTGCAGATGACTCCACCTTAGTGGTTTTATAACAAGCAAAGATGAGACCCTCTACAGAGAGAACCGGTACCTGTCCCAGCGGTGTTCTTTGAACAAGCTGCTGCTCAACACCAAGGAGGGATATGGTTAACACCCATCTCTTCTCATTCAAGGGAAAAAGGTAGAGTGTGGACAACATCAAATTCCCGGGCATCTAGATTACCTCAAACCTGACCTGGTACCTGAACACCTCATTTTCTGATCAGAAAAGCCCCATAATGACTGTACTACCTCAGGGAACTGAAGAGGGCTGAACTCTCGCCTCAGCTAATCAAGAACAGAGTATTTTAACTATACTTTTATACTTTTATGTTCTTTTTCATTCTTGAAAACTTGAGCTTTCCTTTAATGCTAAATGTACTACTTGTGTTACCTTTACATACAAAATCCTAAAAAAATACACAGTAACACAAAAACATCACATTTTGCAGTTGCAAAGTGACAACTTGTGAAAAAAACTCAAACCGGTGACAAGTGTTGCTTAAAGGTTGCAAAGTTCTTCCAAGAGGTTATCTTATCTTTCAGTAGGGAACCACTTGAATGAGTGTGCAGACTAGTCAAAAGGGCTTGTATCATCTCCCCGTCACCCAACAAAAGCTGCTGTTAGTTTTCCGCCAGAGGAAGCGATCCTTGACTGACGGATGGTGCGACGGCCCCACAAGAAGGGAGGGGCTGTCATTCCTGAGCCTCGAGTGTTTGTAATCCACCACTGATTTCCCTCTTTACATGGAAACTCTAGTCAACTTTTAAAAGTCCAGTCACACACTGACAATAGATCTTCTGAATCTGTGAGATACAGTTATCCACTCAGATCCTATTTCACACTTACCACAAAAAAGGGAGGAAGATGAAAGAATAAGAAACACAGAGAAGAGAAACAAAAGCAAGCTCGCTGTTTCTCTCATGTCTAGTTCCCACATGTTCAATTGTCTTTTTTGTGTATTGTTTGTCTTTACTGTCCAGGAATTTGATGTTATTAGAGGCATTCTAATCCACTGGTTGAAGTTTTCTATTCTGTCTTTATTACTGTCTCTCTCTTTTCTCCCTCACCTCTTTATGTCAAACAAATGACAACACCCTTATCCATCACATTCCCCTCCTCCCCACTCTAACCTCTTTTCTTATACACAAAGAAGAAACGCCGGACCATGTAATACCCCTGTTGTGGGATGGTCACCTTCCTGTCTTTCTTCCCGTGGACCATCAGCCAGTGGGAGTAGTGACGGAGGGTGAGATTCTTCGATTAAGCCTCCTCTCGGCAGTTTCGCTGCTGTCTCCCAGCAGCTTGCATGGAGCAGCCACCTGAGGGGGCGTGAATGTCACTTTCTGCTTTTTTGTTGCTACTTACTGTCGTCCATGACAGATGAAGCACCACCCGAGAGCTGATACTGAGCTGAAAAGCCAGCATGATCACACAGCATGTCACAGTTTCTTACCACAATATATTTTCTTCTTCTTATCACTAAAAAAAATTATTTTCGGCACACAAAAGCAATCGCTATTCTATTTATTTTTTGTCCTGTCCTCAGAGTAAACCTTGTTTCTCACTTTGTAGAAATAATCTGTATGGTCCCAACCTTTTTCTCCCCACCAGAGCAGCTCAAACATGGCCTGTTTTACCTGGTGTTACCTGCTTTAAAGACAAGCGAATCCCCAGGAAAGAGCTTCCTGCTAATCCCCCCGTCAGTGGCAGAGGCGTGTCGGGAATGCAGCATGGCACACCTCTATGGGGCTTGACCCAATAAATCAATCCACCCTGCATCGCCTCAGATGTGTCTCAGCAGTTCTTTTACCATTCAGTGAACACCCCAAAGGGACTTTCCAACTCATGATAGTATAAGTTGCTTTCCACCTGGGGCCAATTTCAGAAGTTAAGCTGTTGTTCATAGCTGCCTGTTATCTCTCAATTTTTCCATCAATCTGAGTCTGCACTATTTTGTCTGCCTTCTCTGCCTTTGGTCTATATATATATGTATATATTTTTTAGTTAATATTATCTGTCTCAGTAGAGGTCATTCTGGCTGTGTCTTGTTTGGCTTGTGCTCATGCTCACTGATCTTCCACTATCTGAGAATGCAACTGTTTCAGTAATGCCTCATTTACATTTCTAAGATGTTTTTCTGTCCACCAGGCGAGCGGAGACCTGTTTCTTTGCCATGCAGGCGATGTCCTGTTGCTATGGGGTCTCTGTAAATGCATTAATGAGTGACTGTCATAACTGCTGTGAATATTAAGGGGCAAAGATAATTAATTGCAGAAGAAAATCCCATGGCAAATACCCTTTTCGAACAATGCAAACACACTTAATTGGATGTAATTGGGAATTTATATGATAGACCAACAAAAAGGAGAAAAAAAATGTGAAATGAAAGTTAAATTATAAATGCTTTTCAACATTCTTTTTAAACAAAAATCTTAAACGCATGCATTTATGTTCAGTTCATCAGGATCTCTGTACTGAGTTCTTAAACATTGACCTTAAACATAAATTTATATTTGCTATTGAATGGTTTAGATCAGAACATATAATAGGATGGCATGGTCAGAGCTATTCCTCAAATCAAATTGTAAATTTGTGGGGTGATATGGAAATTCGTACTGATAACAAATTTGTCTGAGTTTGAGCTACTTTTCAAAGAATATTTTTAAAATGTATTTCAATTACATTACATTATAATTTAGTTATAATTAAAATGAACTTTTGACTCTGTGACTGAATACAAAAATATGACAAACATTTATTTTTTTTAATTTGTTAAAGATCTTAAAACGTATTTATCCTTTTCTTTCTACTCTGCAAATATGCACCAGTTTGTGTTGATTTATCTACAAAAAAAGAACAAAAACATTCAAATTTGTGGCCAGAGCACAAAGAAAATCACTGACTGAGAGAAAAGCATTGAATTTTGTTTTGAAAATCAAAATGGAATTTGAATTACATAGCCATGTTTCTTTCCATATATATAGTTTATGTTTGCACTTCCGAGACAAATATTCTTGGAAGTTACAACAGTGGATTAGCTGTCCACTGTTGTAATGAAACTCGTATCCGAAGCCGTTTCACTTGTTTGCCGTGAAGAGTATAAATTCTTTATTCTGTATATCCTCAGTTTTATTTTTGATCCTTGATATCCTCACTTATAACGTGTTGGTAAGTAAAGCTTTTACATTTTTAAATAGTAGCCCTGTTGTAACAAGTGTTAACAAACTGACCCCTAAGCTGGATATGAAGTATTCCCAGTGATGAAACGCTGCTTTAAGCCTGCTGGCACTTTGTGGGTTTAAAGAGGCAAGCGTTCCAAAGCCTTGTTACAGCCACGGATCAGTCAGCCTGTGCGGTGTCAGTAGATCAGAAACTTCTATTAATAGAAGAGGAGGGGTGTGTGTGTAGATCATAGAAACTGTGCATCTGCTTCATCATTTATCCAGATTAAACTTGCAGTGTCTTTTAAATGGCAAAGGTATGCAGCTTACCCTGCCATGTGTTCACAGTGCTAAAGATGGGGCCATATATAGTGTTGCAAGGGCAGGGAGGGCCAACTTCTGACGTTAAAGGAAGTCTATTTGTAAAGGTTCTGCTGTAGCTAAAAAACAAATGGTAAAATTCACAAAGCGGATGAAGCTATTTATGTTTCATGACTAGTTGGGAAACGAAGGCAGGAGAAGGCTTAAAGGCCACCGCATGATTAAACTGACCTATTTTAACAAGAAGTGCTGCTAAGGTGGGCTGAACAATAAAAAACTGAAACTGAACCGGGGTCAAACAAAATATGTAAGCAGGAGCCGAACTGAAACAATGATTTATATAAAGACTAGTTTCAGTGAAAAAGAAGCTGGAACTTTACAGACAGACACAATGAACAAACTAATCAATAAAATAAAGAAGAAAGCACATCCCCCGGTGTTATACACAAGCTTGTAATTTTTATTTGTATTTTCAGTAACAACCTCCACATCATTGTTAGCATGACCTGGTAAAACTTAGGTATGATAGGTTCACTGAGTGGTAAAGACTGTTTTTCTGAGTTTTTGACTCATATTGCTGGTCTTTACTGCTAATTCTGAACATCATGCAATTCTGGTCATAGACTGATTTCTCTGTTCATTCTGGTCAGTAGGTGAGAGGCACATGCATACATCCTGGAGAGGTCACCAGTCCATCACGGTGTTCCAGGAAGACACACCAATACACATAACCATGCACACACACTGAAACCTAATGACAATTTGACGAACAAGTTCCACCATGCAGTCCCTCCTTTAATTCTGTGATAACCTCCAACAAGAGTGACACCATATCCTCCATAAAAAAAACTTAATTTTAAAAAGTGCTTCAGGGAAAAAAATTAAATGAAAACTCTCTCTTCCTGTATCATATACTTTTATACCTGCAGGGTCCTCCTTACTTGATCTGCTTTTTTAATAGCAAGGAAAGACTCAAGACATGCTTTTATTAAATATTGATTGCTTTCAGACTGTCCAAATGCACACCACAACACATTTAATTCACAACTAGAGGAATAATTGGGTGCCTCCCACTAAGTCCCAAAGACCTAAACTATGCCACTGAATATCTGACCAAGTTCTGATGTAAATAATAATAATGCTGCATCGTAGATATTGACTGTCGAGTATTGAGAAACAGATATGTTTCTCAATACATATCTGCCTAATTTCCCTAATTTCAACCTCAGAAGCTCTTATCATAAAAAATCTGCTACTTAGGTAGAACAAATTAAACACATGATCTGTACTTCACAGTATTTATAGGTCCAAGGAAAGGTTTATTTAAGAAATATCTGACAGAAAATCAATGATGTGAGTTAGATGTTTTCGAACATGAATAAAATCAAAATGTTGATAGATAGAACAAATGCTATTTTTTGATACATTTATTATATTACATTAAGCTATGCGCCAACAAATGTTGATAAATAAAAATCAACTAGCTTAGTCAGAGACCTAACTGTAGAAAAAGACACTGTTAATCATCTGACCTGCATACATAAAAAACAGGAATGGAAGTCATTAGTTTAGGACTTTTAAAATATTTGTTTAAATCAATAAAATATTTTTAAACAATAGTTTCCAATTTATTCTTTTAATCAGTTAAAGCCTTACAGAGTCAAAACTATTCATGGGCTCTGATATGTGGACACAAAAGTCACAAAATTTGTCTTATCAAATTGTATCTCAGCAATTTGTTTTACATTTTGTGGCCATCAATGAGTTTCTGGCATATTGTCTGGTTTTTGATCACCAAACAGGTCAGCATTTCATGTTAGTCTTCCTCTTTCTCGCCAAACCCAGTTTTGATTACTCTTTTGGACTTTGGCGCCGTTGGAATATACGACTGTGTGCAAATTGCAGCATTCTTGCTGTTGATGTGAACTGAAGTTCAAGATTTTCCAACTAATCCATCTTTGTTTTATCCACTTTTAGGAATGCGTCAGTACATCTGATAGCAAAACCTCCTGTTTTTTTTAAATATTAGATTTCAGTGGGATCTATAGTTGAGGAAAATATGAGAACCTATAAAGATCGTTTATAATGACAACACTATGACTTGTCAGGAGGAAGAAAAGTCTATCTAATACTTTTAAATAATCCAAGCAAAGCAGCTTACATAACAACACCCTACTTCTAAAAAGCTATTATCAAAAGCAGACACTTATAATGTTCTTAATTATATCTGAGGTTGACATGTGAAAATGTCTATTCCGAGAAAAATATAACAGCCAGGATATGGTTGAGCATTTGACAGGTGTTGCTCTTAGAGAGTTTGTCTTTCTCCCGTGAGAAAAACTGTCAGCATTCTTCCCTTGTCTGATGCTGAGAAGAAAGCTGCTGGTCCACTGTCTTCTGCAGATGTGCAAAAGACAGTGGATCTGTACATATCTGTCAAAGAGTGGTGGTTGGTGAGGCTTCTCTCTCCTGGAGTCCTAGTGACTCAGAGAGTGTAATGCAGGTGGTGGGATTGCTGACAGTCGACATTGGCTTTCTGGTAAATCATCAAAGAGAGAAGTTCAGGGCCTGTTGGAGCATGGTAACACCTTTACTGCCTTTCAGATAACCCCCACTTCTAAAACACACACATTAACGCATATACAGACAGACAAAAAGACAATGGCTGACGCACATACAAATGCAGGGGGTGGTTTGACATAGTTGACCCCATCACCTTTGCCCCCTTGCCTAATTTCAACCTTGTTTAGGGGAGGGGGATTTGTCTCCTCTTGTCCATTTACATTCTGTCTGTGTCTGTCTCTCTGTCTGTCTGTCTGCAGACCTGAATGAGTGTGGGCTGAAGCCGAGGCCCTGCAAGCACAGGTGCATGAACACATACGGGAGCTACAAGTGCTACTGCCTAAACGGCTACATGCTGATGCCTGATGGGACCTGTGGAAGTGAGTCTCTCTCACATGCACACGAATTTTATTCTACACTTTGTCTGTATTGGTGTGGGTATTTATTTTCTCCCTTTGCAGAAACTCCCCTCTTTCCTAACCCTTGTGTACAACTGCGGTGTGTTCCATCATACAATAATGCATGCACAATTATTGTACTTTTTCCTTTAATTAATAGTGGTACACACTTTTTTGTGGCTGTCAATAAGATCCTGGATCATTTCTATTTGAGCACAATTTTTGTCAAAAATGGTTTGACTCAGTTAAGTTGGTTGTTTCCTTAAATCTTCAGTTCAGATCAGGGTGATTGCAGAAAATTACTGTTCCCTGCTTTATTCTTCTAAAATCATGTTTTATCATAACTGACCTGTTGGACTGCAAAAAACTGAAATTTGTGCACCAAATTCATGTTTGGAAAAATATCTTAAATTTCAAATTTTGAAATTATTTCACTGTGGACATAAAGGATTCAAATGCATATTTAAAAGCCCCATATTAACATGCTGCTAACAATCATTGTGAATGCATTTTAAACTTTGGCTGGCACTGTAAATGTTTGCACCATTGTTCTTGAAGGTTCTTGCCCTTGGTGATAAAAATGTATTTTTCTGCTGGTGTAAGGGCCCTGACAGCAGCCCTGCAATCCTTTGATAGACTGTTTTGATTAGAGCCCCATGTTGATCTGCTTCATTATAGCTGCTCCTCTCTCAGAAAGCCTCCTGTGAAGAGCCCTTACAGTGGTAAAATGAAAAATATAAAAGAAAGTCTTCCAACCCTCTGGTGCATATACAGGTTTTATTGGACGCCATGAGGTTTTCCTTCATAATACGAGCCGCTGCCTGTGCACGTCTCCCATCTCCCGCAAGTTCATTTCCCCCCCTGATTACTATTTCTCCACACATTTTCAGTTCAGGATTATATGACTGCTGCTTCTTCTTTTTAATTAGCTCCTTTTTTTAAGATAAGATAAAAAAAGAAAATTAATTCTTCCACCTTATAAAGTCTGAATTGTTCTCCACTTGAGGCTATGTGAAATTAGTCTAGGTGTTGTTTTTGTGATGGTGTTAACCACCTTGCTTTTCGTCTTTTCTCTCCCTGCTGTGGCTTTGATCAATGGATCACCGTGGCATTTAATCAGCCAAGACTGCCTGTGTCATCAGACTGTACTCTGGAGAGCCTGAAAACAGCCAAAGTTGCTGCAGCAGCATGAGCCCTGCTTTTAATTTCCTTTTTAGGACATAAATTTATCAGGGGAGCCCAAGCCATTTCTGCTCTATTATATTATTATTTTGGAGGGTCTTGATCTTCCCTGTGTGAATCAACAGGAAATAGGCCGTACCCTGCCACAACAATATGGTGAAGATGGATAATCAGACTCTCAGTGAAAGAAATGATCAAAGGGCCTGAAGGAGGGAGCTTTGAGCCGAGGTGTGAGCACACGGCAACTGCTCACCAGAGGAATCTAATAATGGCAGTGCTTGTGTTGTTCTCTTGGCTGCACCCGGGGTCAAGCTGGCAAATATCAGAAAAGGCAGACGAGTGGCACTGCTCTAACAAATTGGCCAGAGGATAAAAGAGATGTGTGTGTGTGTATGTGTGGATATGAGGGAGTGGAATAAACTGTTCCTCTTTGAACCCCCTTGTGGCACATGCTTGAGTTAATATATGGTTTGCTTCTTTTTACATCAGACGCTCGGAGTTGCGCCATGGCCAACTGCCAGTACGGCTGCGAGGTGCTGAAAGGAGAGGTCCGATGTCAGTGTCCGTCACCGGGTTTGCAGCTGGCCCCAGATGGAAGAACCTGTGTGGGTGCGTCCCAGTCTTAATATATCCTCTGGCCTGAAAACTGAGACGTTGCTGATAGACTCCTGTCTACCAGTGACTGAGGTCAAACTGAGTGGGGTTTTCTTAGCTTCTCAGTCATCTGAGGAACAATTTGAACCAATAACGTCTTTGCAAAGTCAATGCAGCCTACTTCCACAAATTTTGGAGCGGCAAACTTTCAAACTACCATCTCACAAAGCAGCCCTCCCCTACGTCTTCCCCATTCAGCTCCACCAGACTAGCGGTAGCAGCAATTAGCAAACGCCTGGAGGAAATTTGAGGTTGCTGAGCTACTTCTCAGTCCAATATTCGTTGGAAATGGCTTAATGGAGAGAGACTGTTGTGATGATGTGCTGAAGTTGGAACGTCAGAAATAGCAAGAACTTCTTAAAGAGACAAAGGCCCAATTTCAAGGTGTTAAGTTGCAACACCAAGTTTCTTGTAAGTCATTTTTGATATATACAGCATTTTTATAACAACTGAAGATAACAAAGTCACTTGATTGCTATAAAATGGCACTATTTGCTTGGAAAATACATAATTTACCTAATGCTCTATGAACAGAACATGCGTCTTTTTGTGTAAATAATCATCAGTTTCTCTGTAAGTAACTACCCATATCATAAAATTGCATTTGAGAAAACAATTTTTACATTAATGATATTAGAGTTTGAGTTCTTCAGCCTCAGAGAACACAACCTGAATTCACACTAAATGAAGGTGATACAGGAGTTATGACTTCTGACAACTTTGTAACAGAACTTGCCATACATTTCTTAACAATCTCTTTTGAAAGCAAAGCAGTCAAGGTGGGAATATCTGAAATATTTTTCTGTTCATTTTCTTCCCATTTTTCAAGAATACTATAAATCTATCACTGCTCCTGCCCACAGGAGTAAGAGGACTTCACTCCTCTTACAGTCTGTCTCTTTCACAGCAGAAAGAAACCAATCCTCCATTCATTACAGATTTTTTTTGGCACTCCAGCTTAGATGGGTAACTTAACAGATAAGATGTGTCGAGGGTGAGAAGGAAGGTTAAAGCAGTTAACCTATGTCAGTATTAATACCTTGGTTGCTACAGTGTGTTCTTTTAATATTGCCTTTAACTGCTGGTTAGATATTGTGTGGGTGGGTTTTTCAGGCAGACTTCAGTTTTGGAAGAAAGTCAGAGGAGAACAGAGTCTGGAGTTCTAAGACGGTCAAGTGTTGCTTTACACTAGTTGGGTCTTAATTTTTATAGTGACTTTTGCCATCTGTCTATGGCCTGTTGGTAAAAAAAATAGCCTACTGGTTAACTGGGATATTGATAGAAAAGTTATTAATGTACAGTGTAATGGAGAAAAACATTCAAATTTGAAGCACTTTGGGGTCATTTCTATATAATCATAGATTACAGGATTGTCTAAATTTCGAGACTATGGATGATCATTAATAAATAACTCAATACAAGTTTTTTTCAGATGTGTCATTTTTTTATGAAGCACTGGAGGAATACCAAAATTGTCATCAAGTTTATGAAGATGTTCACAAGCCAAAAACAAATATTACCCAAACCTGCAATGAACTGGAATTTCCTAAACACCAATATTTCCCTCAATATTAAATTTAAACATTGCTGCAAGACTGGTAACCAAAAACTCTTTGAATTTAAAATCAACGGCTTCAAGTCTTACATGCAGCTGCCCACATTGCCAAGTTACAAAAACATCTGGAGAAAAATATTGTGCCCAGATAAGAAAATGATAGTTATTTCACCATGAGAAGATGTATGTGGGAATGAGTAAAGTTGATTCTTCCACCACTGTGATGGAGGAAGCAGCACCTTGTGGAGTAAAACCTGGACCTAGCTGACCTTCGGTCATTCAAACTTTTTGTGAGGATAAAGCAGGTTTGTAGGAACCTTTCGGGATCCTCTTCCCAAAATTCCAACATCAACTTCATTGGGAATCTGTGGATCATGGTTAAAAACTGTGTTTGATGTTAGAAAACCAACCAAATCTGACCAAATCTGACAAGAAGGTCACAGAATGGTCTAGTGGTCTTGCTAACAGTAAATTAGCCAGATATTAGCTGGGTTGTGTGAACATATATTTTTGAGGAAATCCAGACTAAATTCAAACTAACATAATCAGCGTTGTGCGACAAATCAATATTTCACCATGTTTAAAAAATTGTTAAAATAAATAAATTGGTCAGCTGAGACGTGCACCAAACGAGTGATTTTTTTTTTTAGGGGGCTGGGGGTTGTACTAGTTTCTAAATATTAATGCTCACATTTCTGCTAAGGTGAGCAAAAGCCCTACTTCAAATAAGGCTTTAAATAATGAAATAAGGCGTTGTGCTCTGCACAAAGAAGAAAATGCTTTGTTCATAAATGAATGTTAAGCAGAGAAGGTGAAGCAATCTGCTGCTTTGAATAACAGTGGTTTGGCATAGATATCATTTCTGTCCTTTAATATTGAAGATTTGCATTGCCTGATTTTATTATAGCCAGAGGTTATATTGTTTCTAAATTGACATTTGAAAATGTTTCAGAGGAGGTGTGAACTATTTGGCTTAAGATGTTCGAATATCTTCTTTTTTCTAATAACCTCAATGTCTTTTTTCTCCGGTAGATGTGGATGAATGTGCAGCCAGGATAGCAGTGTGTCCCAGGTTCAGGAAATGTATTAACACCTTTGGAAGCTACATCTGCAAATGCCATGAAGGGTTTGACCTACAATACATCAATGGAAAATACCAGTGCATAGGTGAGGTCATAGTACTACAGACTCAAAGTAATTTACCCATATTTTTTTGTACACACAAACCAAATTAACAATTGTTTAAAGGGTGTGGAGATTTCATTATTATAAAATATATATTTTTAAAGTTTGTTTGTAAGTATTTATACCAATCAAGGGCAAACCTTTTTTTAAAAAACATTTTTACTACCAGAAGAAAATCTAGAAGTGACTGAGTAACTTCCTTTCCTGTCCACCTGATTGTGCCTCTGTTAAAAATTTACATGAACATATAAAAATTCTTGTTTGTTTTTGTAAATTTGCCATGATCAGTTATTGATCACATATTCTGTACATGAACATACTTTTCAGTAGGGGCAGGTTTTTGTATTAAAAAATTCTTGCTTGTCTTATATAATGTTCCAGTTTTGAACTTCCATTAGTTGTAACCCATAATCATCAAAGCTAACAGAAATGAAGGCTCAATATAGATTTACAACGCTGAGTATAATAAACCTACATAAAGTTTGCTTTAAAAGGGCTTATTATTTATAGATGAAACATCTCACTGCTCGGAGGATGCTTACATGACCTTGCTGTATCCCTCTATCTCCCAAGTAACCCTCATAACAATTTTTTACAGGCAGTCACCAAAACATAGGTGCTTCTGTTAAATAAACTTTGAGCTTCCCCTCATGTGCACGTTGAGCAATTACCCTTTGATATTCCGCTGTTATGTCTGAAGGGTTTCCTCACTCGCGCTTTGTTGCTGAATGTTTTCATGTCTCCATTATCTTTCAGATGTGGATGAGTGCTCTTTAGGCCTCAGCCACTGCAGCAGCTTCGCCACCTGCTACAACACGCCAGGCTCATACAAGTGCAAATGCAGAGACGGCTACAGGGGGATGGGGCACGACTGTATACGTAAGTACTGCCTGGGAACAAAAATGCTGGCACCGATGTTCACCCCTGCAGAAGGGCCAGTGGGGCCCCCCGTGTTGTTTTGTTTTCTTTGGCTTTTTTAAAAAAAGTTAGGCAAGCAAGAAAGAGGGAGGAATCATCATGAAAGCCAGAAGTTGGTGCTGGAATTCCTTTCTTTGTAATGGTTGTCAGTCAGTGCTCAAATGACTCTGCCTCCCTTATCTCGCGTGCACAGAGCAACTCTGTTTCTGTTACGTGACAATTTTAGTCAGCCAAAAGGGGGAGTCATCATCAAAAGGAAATGATGTTTCTCTTTTTAATCACTAACATGAAGTTCATTAGCTTGCAGCAGGCCAGTGCAAATTAAGTCAGTTATTTTTTAATATTACTTAACCCTCTTATGTATTCAGCCAGCGTTTTGGTATAATGAGCGAAGAAGATGCCTTTTGCAAACACTTCACCATGTCACCTAACTAAAGTTTGCGACACATGGAGAAGACAGGGTGCCAATTTGAAAGTTTTCTTTTGCTTATCCCATTTCAATTCAGTCTGCAACCTGAAAGACTCAAGAACCATTAACTCCAAAAGAATAACTGACAGAAAGGAGTAACTCAATAATAAAAGAAATATGCTTATACTCATGTGCAGTTATTTATTATTTTAAAGAGTGTATTTTGAGGGTATATTATCTAATTTTTAAGCCTTTTCTTTTTTCAGTAGAAATTGGGCTTATTTTTTATGATGGAAATTAGTGTAAAGGCTGCAAAGAGAAAAACTAAGAAACTGTGATTTAGTATATTTAAAATTGTTGCATTTTTGACAAAAATATGATAGAATTAGGCTTTTGAAAATTCATCTTGGAAACAATTGACTTTTGTTTTTCTGTGAATTTGTTTATGTGTTTACCTGAGAGTTAACTCTCCTCTGCAAATGCAAACTTCTTCTTCAGCCAGACATGAGGTAATCAGGTTGTTTCAGTCTGCTTATATTTAGTTACCAGATATCACTGAGAAGTCTCAGAGGATGAAATAAAGCTCTCACTGCAAAAGCCAGGCTAATCACTGCAGTTAGTCTGCAATTCTGTGCCTCATTAACTCCTAAGTGCTCATCTTTCAGCTCTCCATCTGCATTCTCTTATCATTGCAGCCATTCCAAAGGTGGTTATTGACCCCCCGAGACCAGGCAAACTGCCTCCCAATCATCACAACCACATCCCAGACTTGGATCACAAAAGGATTACCACAGTCCGCCCACCAGTAACTCCAAAGAAAACCTTCCCCGTTGTTCCAAAATCACCACTCACAACTACAACTGAAGCCCCGCCGGCCCCCAGGACAATCACCCCACTTCCACGCAAACCAGCAGTTCCCACTCGAAAGCCCTTCATCCCTACTCGAAAGCCATCAATACCCACACGCAAACCCTACATTCCTCCAAGGGTTGTGGTTCCCACAGGGAAAATCCCACTCATAACCCCTTCACCAGACAACACCATTCAGAGGGAGGTAACCAAACAAAGAGGAGATGTCCACAGTAAGAACCAACATCTTATTTTATTTTGACAATGTCATGAACAAGTGTATTTAAATTGATAATTGTTATCAGCATTTGAGGCCGCCGTTTGGTGCAGAGTGGGAAGTTTGCATTAAACATCTACAGTTTTTTTTTTTTTTTTCTGAGATCACCTATTGTGTCTTTGACAAATAACTAAACCAGTGATGCTGAATGCAACAGAAAAGCTGCAGGCTATTAAACAAAAGCAATGAGGTAAAACACTCAATAAAACACAGTGACACTCCAGAGCTGCTTAGATTATCGACACACAAGCTTGTATGTGATTCATACCTCCTGCCAAAAGTTAGGCTGCACTTGTCTGTGTATTTGAATGTGAAGTTCTATTACAAATGGCTTCTAATAAGACTTCATTTCACAAAAAAAAGATTTTTTAAGTTGTTTTTGCTTTTCTTTTTTTTTTTGGTCATGATTCAGTTTTTATTCTTGGGTTGTAATACTGAACTACATCATTTTCAGACAGTTTGAATAAATCACAAACTATATTAGCTATAGAAAGAAGTCTCAGGTATGACATTTATTTATAAAACTTTCCTTGCTTTGTAAAACATATCTAAGATAAAAACATATCTATGACGATGGTGGTGATGGTAAAGTTGTTTGCTTAAATATTTTTCTATCAATCAATTCAAAGCAGTCTTTATCTTTATGCTGCCAAATTAAATGTGAGAAAATGTTCAATTATTTTATTTAACTGGTACTTTGAGGACATTTGGGATGCATATGTGGCCCAAAATGTAAATGAGTTTAACACCCATGGTCTTATTCCTTGGATGCAAATTGTGTGAAGTGTTCATCACATAACAAATCACAATTTATCATTGTTTTTGATGTGTGAAGGAACAAACCAAATCAAAGAAACAAAAATATATACTAAATAGTGTTGATGAATTTGATTTATCATTTTTAAGTGGAAGAAGACGCAAAGAACAGTCTTCAAAAGAAGTGATTACAGGGTGTTTGTCCTACATATGTTGCATAATTTATTTTATATTCCATAATCTACACATAATGTTTTATAGGTATAAATATCTTTATTTCACTACAAATATTGTAGAATATTTTGGAAAGTGAAATATTACTTGTTACTCTTTTACTTTGTTTTCATAGGACCTGGTTTCTAATTTGAAATCAGTCTCCCTAATTGCACAGTTGAGGTAACATTTTCATCTTAAAATTATGTTATCTCTGGCTTATCTATGCACCACATTGTAGTACAAAATGAATCATCGACACTTATTTCATTAAAAGTACATTGACCTTCTTTGTTTTTTCTCCACATTTGTAATTAAAGTAATTGAACTAAGTAGTTTTAAATGACACAGAAAGAGGTTAAAATCTAATTTTAATCAAAAAATGTCAAAAATAAAAGCAGCATTTATCTTCACCTTTCAGATGTTTAAGTAGATGGAAATTGCATCATTTTAGAATGGGTCATGCTGTAAACTGTACTCCGAAAACAGATTAAGTAAAAGTATGCCTAACATATTACTGAAAGAAAGTCATTGGAAGTCACATTTGCCACAAGGAGTACATAGAAAACATGTACAAAAAGGTGATCTGATCAAATATGACTACAAAAGACTTGCTCCTGCAACAAGAGCAAAAATGTTGTTCTCAGGGTTCTGAATACAAATACAGTGCAGAGTTTTCAGATTTTCATAATTCAGATATTTTGGAAACTGCATCAGTTTCCACATCCCACAGTCCTGCAATAGATCGAGTTGATTTATCATCGAACAACGCAATAAAATATATTGATGTTTGTGTTAGAAACGTTAAAAAGGTTCAACAGTACTTTTGACAATTACTGTCTAAACATAAATAAACTCCCAAGTTTTAGTGAAATTGAGACTAAAGATCTTATTGAGACAAAACAATGTTTAACATATTTTCTTCTTTGGGATTCATCTATTGAGAAATTACTGTGTTGTCATGAGCCGTTAATGTTGCACAAAAAGTAGACATCTCATTAGACCTCATAGCATACAACCTTCTTCAAGGACTGTACATGAGAATTTTATAGGGATAATATTATGTATTTTCCATGCACATTGTGCCATTTTGTAGTAAAATCAAGAAACTTTGTTATATAATTATATATGGTATATATGTCGTATAGCACGCACACGCACAAATAAATGTTTTATATATTATTTATATATATTGATACATATATAGATGTATATAAATAATGGCACAACCAACCATGCACACATATCACAAAGTAATTCAAACAAACCATGATAAAATAATGGATTTTCTTGCTTATATAAAGAGTAGTTAGCTGAAAACCCAGATGTTACACTGGTTTTCTGCTGAGATGAAACAGTTCAATACCAAAAAAAGGGGATCAGACATTCTGGTTGCCATTCATCTTGCCAGATGGCACCTCATAATTAGAAAACCGAATAGGGAAAGAAGATTGCATTAGCACCTGTCCGCGCAGCTTGAGGAAGACATCAAGTCTAATAGTTTTCACCCCAGCAGAGTAATTCAAGAAAGCAGAGATTCCTGTAGGTGATATGATGAATAGAAAATGGGAAGGGAGGGGCCAAAGCTCAGGGTAATTATTCAAATAATTAATCAGAAATCAGAATTTAAACGAGTGTCTCTTTATGCAGGTCAACAAGTGTTTCCAGGAAAACTGGGTGTGCAAATGCACTTGTGCATTCTGAATGATGAATGAGAGCATTTTTATTTGGACGTGCGCTGTCCACAACTTAATATTAATAATTTCTGAGATATACAGATTCACAAAACAATACATAAATTCATGTTTCTGTCATATTTTCCATGAAAATTTTTTTTATACACAGTTGATGTTTCAACTGCCAAACTTTACTGTTTTGATATTTTTGGAGTTTCATGCAATACCGTTCTCCTTCCCCAAACACGATATATTCAGTTGGACACAAATAGTTCAATATTGGCCTCATCTGACCAGATTATTGTCTCCCAGTATTTTCATGGCTTTTTCAAATGTCCTGCAGCAAATGTAAAGAAACTTTATCAAACTTATTTTTTAAGCAAGGTGCCATGAGCTTCCTTAGAGGTGGTTAAATGCATTAATTAGTCTTCTCTTTAAGTCCTCTGTCCTTGTTCATCCCAGGTTTTTCAGCCAATGGCTTTTGGCTTTTGGACAACTCCTCTGATTATCTTTTGACTGTTTTGTCAGAAATTACTGGTCGTGATTGGTTATGGTATTCTCTCCACTTCTGGATTATGGTTCCCTCATTCGTAAGTCAGTTAGGACTAAACCAGCTGATATTGTTTTGTACAGGATACACTGCATCGTTACTTTAAAAATGGATTTTTCACTGATTTTGCCTAATTTCTTGATTCTTTATGCCCTGTTGTGGATTATTCTCTCGTGTTTAATATTTTCCCCTCTTGCACTTCCATTTAATTACACATAATTTAAGAACTTACTTGTTTTTATTTCCTGGTTTGTGACCATCATCATTGTGATTTTCATGTCAGTATCCCAATGTCTTGTTAATAACCCAATAAGAAATAATTTTTTCCCTTGAGAAAATAGTCAACATTTCTTTTCTTTTATCTTCGTACATTCTATATTTTATGACAGGTTTTTCTTTGCAAAATGTATTTACTTTGCTCTTTTTTTCTTACCCCTTGTTCCTTTTATATTTATCTTTTTCCACTTCAGTTTCTATACAAGTTAAGTATCAAAGCTTTCAACCAAAAAGCAAACAAGTAAATTTTCCAAATGTACCTTTTTTTGAAAGTGCAAAACCCCCACAGGAAAAGAAATCCTTAATCCTGTGTGACAATTAAAACCCTTTTAACAACCTCTGTGTTTTGGAAAAAACAAAAAGTCCCCTCCATTTGACTAAAAGCAACTGATTATTTAAGCTCCATAAAAACAGTCTGTTAGGGATGGAAACTTGGGATACTAACATCAAATCCCTTTTCTGTGGAAAGATGAAAACAATCAAACATAAAATAAAGCAGCGTTCAATAGCACCAGTGCCGTTTTATTTATTTAAACTAACTTTATTTAAGCACAATTTATGTAAGTCCTGTACAATGAAATTAAAGTAAACCAAAAACATATACGACATGAACCTCTACATGGCAAATACAAATATACATGGCTGTCTACTACAGCTGGTGCAAGATGTTGCTGCACATCTTCAAACAAGAACATGTCAGAGAACACATTAGCACTGACCTGGTTTCTCTCCACCGGCTGCCTGTGTATTTTAGAGTTTGTTTTAAAATTCTTTTGTTTGTTTTTAAGGTTTTAAACAGCCTTGCCCTGCCTAATTTAACAGAGCTTCTTCAGTGTTACGCTCCCTCTTGGTCACGCCGGCCTGCAGACCAGCTAATCTTGGTCTTTTCCACTTGTAAGCAGAAACTTATAGGAAAAATATCCGAACAAACCTTTAAGTGATCAATTACTTGTGATTAGCTAAGGGTTTTAATCAGATTATTTTTATTTATTTTATTGTTATTTGTTTCAAAAAAATCTCAAGAAAAGGAAAACTGTTAGGGGGGAATGCAATACAATTTTCTCATCCAATTTCTTCAGTGTGCTTTACATCCACTCTCAGTATAAGATTAGGAAAGGGTGCTTTATCTTGACACTGGAACCTGGACACACACACACACATATGCACACACCGAGATAGAACAGGATGCCGAGGATTGCTGGAGAGCCTGGTGTATGCATGACCTATCCCACTCTCAGATTTCTTCGGTTGACCGACTTCTGCACTCTGCCAGGTGGTCATGAACCTACAAGTCGACAGATTGACTCAGGGCACGTGCTCAGGAATTTCAAGGATTTGTTGAATATTACACAGTCAATTCATAGATGACTTATAAAAAAACAAACTTTTGATCATTTCATATTATTAAAATTTAGATTTTAAAGTCCCTCAAATTTATACATTTTACTGTATATAAAAAAACCTTCTGTTATCTGCAGAAGACCAAGAAATGGTTGACCTTTCATAACAGCTTGGCCTTGTGCAGACAGAGGCTACGTTGTTCCTTTGTGTTGTAGAAAAACAACATAATCAACACAAAAGACGCAAACTGACTTTTAGCATGAGAGCTCAGAAAGTGAAGGAAGGAGTAATGGTGAAAGAAGAGAGTCAACATTCTGGCCATGATTCTCAGAGAGAAGATCTTTTACAGGCTTCTTCTACTGAACTGAACTCCCTGCAGACGAGCAAATCTGCCTCAGAAGAACTTATAACAGAGGTGTTTCTGAAAACTTACTTTCTCACTCTGTCTGTTATCAAGGTGGAGAAACACTTTTTCTCCTGATCATGGCTAACTGAGAGGAGGTCATGTTTCATTTTGCAGGAATCGTGACCACATGAGATTTACTCAGTTCAATTTTATTCATCTTTATTTATCAAGCACCTACAGCTATAAATGAAACTCAAAGCACTAAACAAGCAAAACCTCAGGTTAAAGCAGACAGCAGAAAGAAAGCAAAACATTCTTTGTTATCAAGCCTCAATAGCAATTTTAAGATAAAAAGTTTATAAAAAGAATAATTCTCAATGCAAAAAAATGCTAAATAATATTATAAATCAATTAAAGTTAAGAACCGTAATTAAAAGGCACATTAAACAAGCCTAAATGTAAGCTGAAGACAGTATTATGAAATATGCATTTCTAATAAGTAAAAAAATAAATACCATGATAGGCTTATAGCTTCATCCATCCATCCATCCATTTTCTAACATCCTTGTCTCTAGTGGGGTTAGGAGGTGCTGGTGCGTATCTCTAACTAATATTTCGGGCAAGAGGCAGAGTCACTCTGGACAGGCTGCCAGTCTGTCGCAGGGCAGGCTTACAGCTTTTTTGACAAAAGAAATAAAGATAAAAATCAATAAATAGAATAAAAAGCTTGGAGTTCCAGTGTTCCTTACCAAAAGAGGAAGCTAATTCCAAAGTAAAACTAAAAGTCTTTTCCTCTTGCTTTGAATTTTCTAGGGTTAACAAGAAAGCCTGCATCTTGGGTAAAAGTAGGCTGTTGAGGATTTTGTATGCAATCAGAAGTGTCTTTTACTCAGTTTTGAATTTCATAGAAGCCCAAACGAGTAAAGATGAAATGAGACATGTGACTCCGTTTAACATCTCCTGTAAGAACACTGGCCACTGCAGTCTGCATCACCTGAAGAATTTTGACATTGATTGATCCCTGTAAAGTACTTTTCTGTGTAATGTAGGAAAGTCATAAAACAGCTCCAAGCAGAAAATGTTGAATCGATATAATATCTTTTTTAATCCTTTATCTAAACCCATGCCTCTTTCCTCAGTCCCTAGGAATAATGGTCACAACACTGTTCTGGACACAGAATTTGATATTGAGCTCGGCAATACAGCAGATGAAGCCAAGGATGACCCAGGTAAGCATAATATGTATGACAAACCACACAGGGTTCAGAAAATAGCAAACATGAGCTTTGGGACAAAGTGTAAGTGAAAGAAGCTCCTGGAGTTTTTCTTGCCAAGGTGAAGTTAATATAGGGACCAGGTGTGTTTTAATAGGAGGTGACACATGGCATCTGGACGTGTCGCTTAAGCGATGGCTCACTGCCTACGAGACACTGCCAAAATGTTCTGCTTCTCACGCTCTGCTCGTTTTGCTGCTTCAATGATGAATTGATTGGAAGCACATTAGCTTTCTGCTCCAGGCCTCTGCATCAAGCAAGACTCAATGCACAATTGTACCCAATATCATTAGTAAGCTTTTGTGAAGTCATGTCAGCTTGATGTGATTTATTAATACCAAGGAAAAAATATGGATTAAATGGTCTCAGGATTCGGTTTGGTGTTGCTTTGGATTCATAGCATTTTATTTTTTGTTGTTAGTAGAGATATATCGTAGATCATTTGGCAGAATTGTCTTTCTCCTCAGTTCCTATTCTTTTATAGTTTATTCTTTGAGCCACATTTTTTCAGTCATATCAAAATGAATATGTAGATCTTGCAAAAACTGTGACTATTAAATTGTACCGCGAATCTACTATTTTTTTTGTCAAACCTATTTTTACATAAATAAAAAAAAAAAAGATTTTTCCTTTTACAGCCACATGACATTTCTGATTGGAATATTACATGAAACCAATAAAAAGACACTTTCAACGTGTAGATCTGAGCTTGATGACTTGAAAGTATAGTACATGCTGAAAATGTATTTTCAGAAGAAGAATTCAATATAAGAAATGAGCCTAATCAGAATATATTTTAATTTAATAAGTATGACTGTATTCACTCCCAACTGATCTGGATTTAGATGACATAATTTAGGCTCAACTTTGCTCTACAATTTTTTTATTTAATGACTTTCTGTTTGAGATACAGAGTTTTTTGGGAGGAAGGGGGTTTCTAGAGGTATTAAATGTTCTCATGAATAACAAAATCACTTAATTTTCACCACACCAGAGGTTCGGCTTTCATTTTTGTTGATGTTGAAGGCACAGAGCATGAAATCAGACATTTACAATCAGTTCTGTTTCTTAGACTCGGGGTATTTGAGCTGCTCCTTTGATGACGGTCTTTGCGGCTGGATCAGCGACAAAGACGGAGACCTGCACTGGGAGACGACACCTGATCCAACAGGTAATTGAAAAGTGGAGTCCACCCTACACAGTTCCCCTACTTAAGGTCTAAAGTTTGTGTATAATTTGTTTATACATGAGTTTTAGAAAGGCTTGACATGCATGCACATGTACGCATAGAAAGAAAATCTGTTTAGTCCTCCTTAATTACAGGTCAAGATGAGAATAATTTAAGGGAAGTAATTTGTCCTCTGAAGATTAAGGCTTTGCTCCGCAATGAAATTTAGATGATAATTGGATTGCATGGTCTATCACTGAAGCCTTAGGCTTTATCAAATATAAATATAAAATTAGTCAAGGAAAGACATGGTAAATTATGTTGAGAGGACACAACAAGTCTAGAAAGCACATTATCTCTCTTAAGTATCTACATCTTGTCTGTCCAGTTAGTTAAAGACACTAACTGGATGTTTTCACCAAATTATATATCATACTAGTTAAGTGCTGACCTTATGTAAATAATATTTCAATGAGTACCATCTTGTTGATGTAGAATTAAAATACTTCAGGGCCATTTCCCTTCTGTTTACATAATGTCTCTACTATAAATACTATTTTCTTGATGTTGTCATGCATGAAGGAATATTTTACTATCTGCCTCCTCCCTTTTGACCCCCAAAGGCAAACATCACACTCGGATGAATACTTTTGACTTTGATGGAACTTATAACTTATGCAGAAAGCCTCAACAGATATTTACTACAACTTCAGAAATTAACAATAGCCGTAAAGTGGCTCTGCCAGAGAAGCAAAATACACATACATCAGCATTTATCAGCTTCAACCCACAAGCACTTTGAATTTAAATTGCTTGGATGCATACATTAATAAAATGGATCTCTAATTGGCCTGGAAACTGAATAGTTCTAGATCAAAGTGTGAAATTATTTTGTGGCGTTTTTGTTTGCAAAAACAGCAGACCCTATAGATAAAAAGTATTCTAAATAATTCAAAGGTAATTGTTTAATGAAAAGCAAAAAGTTGTGGAATAGTCCAAGATGAAGAACATAACACTCACAGTACAGAGATTTTTTTTTTTTTTTTACATTGTACTGCATGACTTGTTTTTTTTTTTTTTTTACATCTTTCTAGATCAAATTCAACATGACCAGGCATTTTAATTATTTTTTTTTTTAAATTTTTGGCAGTTGGTGTTTATTTACGTCATTCATTTGCTCACACAGGTGGATGGTATCTCACGATCCCAGAGACAGGAAACAAGAGAACGGGACGAGGGGCCCGGCTAGTACTTCCTCTCACCCCGCCATGGAATGACGGCAATTTGTGCCTGTCATTCCGGCACAAGCTGGCAGGCCACCATGTGGGAATGCTCCAAGTGTTTGTGAAAAAGGGAAAGCAGTACAGTCCTGCAGTGTGGGGCCGAACAGGAGGCAATGCCTGGAGGCACACCCAGATCACTTTATGGGGTACAGGCCTGGAAAGTGTGAGTAAAATTACATACGTTTCCACTTGATAATCTAGTTTGGGAGATAAATCATCATTCTTTTTACAGCCGTTCTTCAAAATTGTGTTTGAGAAATATGTTTTTAGAAATATATATTTCAAAACGCATGAAAAAAATAAAGTGACCACATGGCAAGCAGGAGTCTAGCTGTAAGTTACATAAGAATGATGTCAGAATGGTTGAGAACAGCAACAACTTACAAATCAGAAACACACAGGTGACATCACCATGTCTTCTATTTCTTCAGGATATTTTCTAAAATGTGCTCTAAGCAAGTCCAGGCGTCCACAATGTTCAAAGATAGTAAGAACAAATTGTTCAGTTTATACAGCAATGTGTCCAGTAAGGTGGAGAGAGTCAGGAAAGATTTTGGATGAAAGCAGTAATTTGGGGACGCAACAGACCAGTGCAGAGATTGAAAAACAATTTGTGGGTTGCAGTGAATAACTGCTTTTTACCAGAATTTTCTTTTAAACAACCATGAATTTGGAAGACATTTTAATTTCTGTTTTGGATCTCATGAGCACTATTTAAAAAGACACTATTTAATGTGTAAGATGAATGATGTTCTTTGCAGATTGGTTAACAATTTTCACCCTCTGTTGGTTGGCAGAATCTGGGGGGAGCCATAACAATGCCTCCACGATTGTATTCTGTGTTGCCAATGAATGAGCGACCATAGGTTCGACATATAAAAATTTGAGAGGAAAACTGTTTGCTTTATAAAATAGCTGGTAGTCACACCCATCACCAATGTCTGTTCTTGATCATTAGATCTGGAGAGACCTTTCTCTGAAGGCTGATTTGGGGTTAGAAACGAGTTTTAAATTGGTTGACTACCTTAAAATGGTCAATTGGGCAGATTGGGTTTTATGCGGCACATTTTAAAGATTAATCATTTATCATGGCTCTACAGCAGGATAAATGTGCCCTTTAAATTTAGCATATAGCAGAATAGGTACTGGAGAAGCTTTAATGACCTATTTCATCAATAGTCAGAGCATGATGACCTTTTCATCGTAGAAATACCTGTTTCCCGCTCCTCAACAGGTCATCTTGAAGGGGGAACGTGGGAGAGGGAGAAATGGAGAGATGGCTGTGGATGATATTACCTTGAGGAAAGGCTCCTGCACAGAGGAGCACAATGTAAGGAGACTCTGACTGAAAGAATGGTGAAGGGCAGACAAAAAGGACAACGAGAGGAAAAATCATCCTAAAGAGAAGAGACTCTGCTGTGACACCTCCTTATACTGCTCTGTTCCTTACTTTGTCCTTCTCATCCCCCAGCCCTACTGTGAGTGGTATCAAAAGTTATGCATACAGTTTAGTGTTACAGGAAGTTTTTCCTATTCATCTATCCATGAACAAGAAGGACTTAGTCAAATCTCACGGGGATATTTTTGGCAGCACTCTCCGGTCGTCTCACCCCACAATTTCAGTTCTCTGAACTGTGCATGTACCGATGTATTATGGAAATGTACTGCATCTCATATTGGCTCTGGCAGCCTCCAACCACACCAGGAAGATTCATTCATTTTTTTTTCTAAAGAGAAATCTGTTCCTTTGCTTTGCATTTTTGTTTTGTCCAAATATTGTAATTGTTTTAATTCACTTGCTTTTGAAACACACAACCAGAAATGCAGTTCCTGTTTTTGATAAAGAACAATATTAGACTTGGTGCTGTTTTATTTTTAGAAGTTCAATTTGCCAAATTTGATTTTAAAATTAGATTTTTCTAAATGGATGTAGTTCCAGAGTTAACATCGAAGGTCACAGTGCCAAACACTTCAAAACAATAAAGCTGAAAATTTCCACCAAAAATGTAAGAGTTTTTTAGATTAATTTACATATTTACTTGGATAAAGACTCTGAAATGTCTTCACTTTGCAAAAGAAATAATATTTTATGTGATTAAAGACCAAATTAAAACATTAAAACTAAAGTCAGAAATTTGTGAGATTTTTTTTTTATTTGTCAGAAATATCTCAGATGTTTTATGAGATTATAAAGTCAAGAGCCGCACATCTGGATAATTTAAGTAGTAGATCTGGTAGGTCCTGCATCAGAATGACATCTCCCACATTCAGACCTGATGCAGCCATGTTTTTCCCTCATTGTCTAAGATGTGCATTTGAATCAGTTGAAGCATTTATGTCAGGTCTACACTCAGGAGATGTCTTTCTGAAAGAGGAAAAGAGCCTTGATCTACCTACACTGTGCATCTCCTAAATTTACCACTTAAGCCTTAGACGACTTCCGTCTGACTTTATAATCTCAGTAAAGTTTTTTGTTTTCTGTTACTTTCAAATTTCTGGCTTTATAATTTCAGAAAATATTGTTGTTTTGTTGTTGGATGTGCCCATTTTATGAAGAAGTGGACCTTTTGTCTTGCAATTTAAAACATAAAATTTTATCTTGTAAATTTGTGAAATTAATCTTAAAATGTCCGATTTTGGTGAAAATTTACGTCACTGCAGATAGTCATTATTTTTCATTTATCAACAGTACAACATAATATTTGAATGCATAACTGAGGTGTCAAATATTTATATAAGTGATCAGTTATAAAAATGAGACTAAAATACTAATTATAGTGTAATTAATGCAAATAAATACATGCATATTTGAGGATATTTAACTCAGTATTTTTTCAAAACATTAAATGTGGAAATAATTTAAATTTGTTCTCACCTTATGTTAAAAAGATATAAATGTTTTAGCATTTATGTATTTGTTTTAAAGGTGTGTTTTGCAACACATGATGAATAAACTGAGGATATAACTCATTAAAGTCAGTGAGCAGAGCGAACACTGCTGTACAAAAAGGAATTAATCTACATTTTAGTTGTGCAATTTTGCCTATTAAATGTGATGCACAAGAAATATTCAATCGATAATGAAATAGGAAATAATTTTCAGATATTAAGTGAAGTGTTAATTATCTCTACATTTGATTATGTTTATTCTAAATATATTGGCATATTTAAATGATAATACATAATTTTTTTTCTTTCATGTATTTATTGCGGTTTCCTAAAAAAAACTGTCACATATAAATGTATTTCACAAATTATTTATTGATTAGAAGCTCTTCTGGTCCTTTATCAGTTGGAAACAGATAAGTTAAAGGGACAGTTAAGTTTTTATTAAATATTTTCACCTAAGAAAATTGTTTTGTAGTGTAGGTGAATGATATGTTGCATTGCTTTTGGATTACTTGGTTGTGTGTGATGTTTTAAGAGTTTTGCTCTGGTACTATGTGTGGGGAGTAGTCAATGTAAAAAAAAAGTTACTGATGCAAAAGTGGTAACAATGAACATAACATGTTCAGATATAACCTTCTGACCCACATGCAGAATCTGAGTCCAAATAAGAAATTGATTTTATTTTCAAAGAAATGAACAACTGACAGTTCTTGATCCTTCAGGAGGATGGAAAGGGTCGCATATCGGTGGCGCCTGCGATGAGAGTGGAATTAATGGTGGCCAGAAACGATTAATCAGGGATGAAATAAGAGCGAGCTTACTCTAGAATTATTCAAAATGAGGCGTGGAGGAAAAGATGGCTAGGGTCCTGTGTGGGAGAATGGTTGATGGTGAATCCTCATATTGTGCGAGGAGGGGTCTGATGAAGCAGGGTGGAGGAATGATGAACGGCAGAGCAGGCAGGCAGGGAACTTGCAGGTAGATCCACAGGAGGAGAAACAGCAGAACTGATTCCTCCAATGAAATCCAATGAGACAATCTCGAGGCAGCAAACACAAGGACTATAAAACTACTGGAAAATGCACAGGAAATAGTCAACAGGTTGTGACAGGGAACTACAAAAGGGTGCTAGAGAGATTACCGGTAAACATAAATCATCCAGCACTGAGTATTTAATCTTATATTTCCATTACTCTGATGAGGCTGATGAGCTCCACCTGCATAGGCTCTACCTAGATCCTCACTGGAAAAGATGCATCGCTCGCACTCCAACACACACACACAGGAATCCTGATAGAACAAAGATTAACTAAAAATCAAATTTTAGTTAATATAGATGTAATAAAATATCCACATTTATTTGAGTTTATTGAGTTCTGAGTTACTCTTTGACTCCAACAAGTTTTCCAAACTGAGATCTCTGTGTTATTTCAAGAGAGATACTAACTGTCCACAAGCGCTCATAATGGACCATTCCCCTATTTAGACAAAACACAAAAAAACACCTAACTGTCATGAAATGTTTTTATCTGAGAATACTGTTTTATGTGTTGTTTCAAGGTCACAAAACAAATATCATGTTGTACCAGCTGTTTTGTCAGCTGGTACAACATGATAGTACAAGTACAGTCAAGCACAGACAAGAACAGGTGGGTTTTTGGTTCTCATTGTTTTCTTGGAGAAATACGTGATATTCTGGTTGTTGTGAATATTAAACATACCAAATATAATACCTGGAATGCACCGCATTGTACTGTAAAATGTTTTGTCTGCAATTAGAAATAGCTTTACAATTTAGTGATTTTGAAAGCAGACCTTATGGTTCTTCTACAGTTTGCCCCTGGAAAATATTGCTCTACCACTTCAGCATCCTCTTTCACCATTGAATAAACATGACAAATTCCGCTCACCTGTATGTGATTGCATATTCATGCCATGTAAGAACAAGCTCAGTATTCTAAAAAACAAAAAAAAAAACAATTCTGTGAATATTACTGGGTTTTGACATAACTTGCTATGGTACATACTTCTGCATATCTTGGAAGAGCACCAGGTTTCCTCTTTTTTTTTCTTTTTGCAAAAAACGATTCTGTTATTCAGTACCATCCTCATCCCTACTTTTGTCTGATGCCCCCTGCAGACCAACTACCTGAAGTGTTTAAAAAAAGAAGGGGCAATGGATTTTAGGCACTCACAATTGAACGTTTTCTTTGTATTGTGCTTTGTTATATAAAATGTATTTGTTACTGACATTGATTGATGAGCAGAATGGTATATTTGTAAATGTATTCATGTGTACATACTCTGTACAATGCCATAAGCTGGTGTGATTTATATGTTATGTAAATTCATATATGAATGTTGATTGGACTTGGTTGGTATTTCAGTATTTAATTAAAGACCCGGTGGAAGCCTTACACGGTGACCCCTTTGTTTGCCATAATAATGAGGAAATTTATCTCATATCAATGTGCTCAGAAGCTTCGTCTGATATTTTATGCTTTCAAACCTGCTTTATAATTGAATGTTTAAAAGACAGAATTAAGTAAAACGTGTTTTCAAATGTAGAACTTGTCCCACTGGATGTTGAATTAAGCTATTGATCTTGGGGATTTTATTCAGAGCTTTTGGTGCAGCTGATACATTCATTAAAAACTAGACCACTAGCTTTTCCCCTGGCCATTTTAGCCAAACCCTAGTGCTTACTTAGTAAAAAGAAGATCTCAAAAATGTTCAGCTGACTACTCGGGATGCATGAAAAGTGGAAAGCATATAACAACTTAGATTCATATGAGGTGGGACAGAATAAAACTCACCCAAAACTGGATTAAATCCTTTTTTGATTATTGTGTTTCATCTGAATTATGTGTGCAGTGTACACATAATTGGACCACGCATCTAAAATTCACACTGAGTCCCGCGTCTCATTAAAATAAGGGAGCTTTTCCAGTTCTACCTCAAAACTTTAAACAAGGAGGGATTATAACTTTATCCAAAATCAACTTTTTTTCAAACAGTTGTTTGAAGCTTAAAAGCTTATTGTTTTCTTTCTGTTTTTTTTATTTTTATTTTTTATTAATTTGCTGGTAAAAGAGGTGGCGAGGAGGGTTGGCATTTTGCTTAATTACATTGTTATTCTCTCATAAAAAACATGCCTGGAGTGTTGCTTTGATTTTTTATGGATGTGTGAGGAATCCTTGAATTTCCTGTGGCTGCCACTTTACTCCCAGAAAGCTCCTTCTTGGAGCTGCAGCTTTCAGCCGATGAAGCACAGCGTCTGCTCCTGTAGTTTAAGGATATTACACAAACTACTTCTTCCGATGAGCCTAAGTGTAAGTTATAAACAGCAGAATGGAGTAGCATTGTTGGGATGAGTAGGAGGTTCTTAAAGACACAGGTCAATTTAAAGACATCAAATTATGAAGTCAAATTTCTTTATACCTATGTTTGATATGTGCAGCATTTTCTAACAGCCGAAGATAACATAGTTATTTGATTGTGTTATGAAATGGCACAATCAATTGCATAATACCAGTCCGTTAAACAGAAAAATCACATTTGTCATCTTCTGCATATTCAAAAAACTTAATTACCTCCACATACCTTTAATCTTTTTAATATTTTTTCCATATTGCACTTCAGAGTTCAATGTAATTTGTTTGGAATTGACATAATAGAACAACATAATTTACCACAAAATTTTTAAATGGAGAGATTTTGTTTTCTACATTTTTACAAGTAAAATTCTGAAAAGTGCTTTTTATGCAGTCTCTATCCATTAAGTATTGACTACTTCATGGATGGTACCTGGGACCATTTTCGGTCATAAATTTGAACCTAGAGAGGTCTAGTGTGTAATAAACAGAATAAAAACTATTTTTCCAGTAACATTTGATAAAAGTCCATCCAAACCACTTTAATGGATATTTTTTCAAACAAACTGTGGATATTACGACACACAGAGAGGTGTGATGTGGAAAGATAAAGTCAGCAAACTTGGCTGTACAATAACTAAAACTGGTTTATTAGGGCTCCAGTATAGTTCACACACAGTTCAAAATGGCAGTTTTCCCATCAGTCAGTCTCTCTGCAACATCCAGTGGTCCACTTATACCGGTTATCCCCACCATCTCAATTTACCCCCAGCCAATCAAACTCCATCTATCACTGCTCCCTCCATAAAAGAGCTGGGTTTGAGGTGGGTCTCCTCCTTAGCAGGGTTCCAAGATGGCAGCTACAATGACACACTTGCAAGGTAACAAACATTTCACAGACAAAGGATCATACACACTTTAGCATTTAAACATTACAGAAAAATTTTTTGTTTCTTAACACTAGACATCATTAGATAAGTCAGAAAGATTTTATGGTAGACTCTTTGATCTACACTTGTATGGCAAGACCGCAAAAAAGTCTCACTGTGGTTTCATGGGCAGAACTATTGCAAATCTCAGTGGCACATTTAGGAAAACGTGTGTGTCCTGGATTCATTGGAAAGTTTACTACACATAATATCAGAACTAGCTCCATTATGAAAATAAGAATATGGATTCTGAAATAAAGTAGCAGATCATGATTCATTTTTTTATTTTTAGAAATCCAGAGAAAATGTCAAGATACTCATGCCTTTATTTATGGGTTGTCAATGAGATTTCAGATAAGGATGTTTTGTCATTGCAAGATAGACTGAGCTGTGTCAGACTCTGATTATTCGGTCATTGTTCATATTGGAGCCTTTTATTCTTCTATAACCTACACACAGAAAGTGCCTGGGTTTTAATGCAAACAAGTTTCACAATGAAAATTTCTGAAACCTTCACCTTAAGACCAATATAGTTAAAGTATTCAGAAATTAGTTACTCATTTATTTATTTATGAAATTGACTTTGTTATGTAGTTCAAAGGGCATTTTTAAAAAGCATGAATATTAATGTTAGGTTCTCATATTATAAATTGTTGATTATGTTAATCATAATCAAATAGGGCACAATTAGAGTAACCTTATGTTCCTTATGTCCCTCATGTTTAATGATGCTTTAACTTTCAATATGTATTTCCCCTGGACAACTTCTGATTTTTTATTTTATACGATTATTTTAACATTTTTATTATCTACCTTTCTGGAGACAAACCAATTTTTTCCCCAAATCTTTTGTTTTGGAAAAATGAGACCCCAACCAAGAGTCAAGACCAGGACGTTCTCGCTTCAAGATAGCAGAGCTTGCAACTGTGCTCCCTACATCAATGCTTTGTTCATTTTAAATAGGCTCATATTCAATAAATTGAATATTGAGTTCCTATGAGGTTTGTCAGATTAAAAGTAATTAAAAAAAAAATGTGAACATGTACTACAGGTACAAGACCAGATTTCTATTTCAAAAAGTTTTACTTTTATTCTAATCTTGGTTGTGTTTTCATTAGACATAAGCAAGGAATCATCATACTATAACAGAAAACGGGGTAACACTGCGAATAAGGCGGTCATGACACCATCATAAATGTAACACCTGACATGAATATGAGTGTCTTCATGAATATTGATGACTGTTGTCATAAAGTGTCATACACTTTCAATACAAAGTTGACATTATTTAAAATGTTTTCGTTATGACACCTTGACATTAACCAAGAAATCATGATCTGAAATAAATTCTCTTCTTAATATAAAAATGTATTGAATATGGCTGTGCGTAGTTATATACCAAATAGCTTACAGCTGGCTCTGCAAATCCTTCTGAGAATTTACCAGTTTTTAAGATCTTATAGCTCAATATCAAAGTCAAGACTGAGACAGAAGATGAACTAATTATTTAATCAAATGATGAATTGTGAGACAAAACTGGAGGCAAAGTGAGATTTATTTCCGCTTGTGTGTGAATTCTGTCAAGATTAAACAAAAGGACTGCTCAGTTTCTCCCAAGTAAAGCCTTCCTAAGATCTATCACTAAATACCGGATGAGTGGAACAAGTGTTGCAGCTCATCTTGAATCTATTAACAAAAGTTAAAGAATCAAGTTCTTCTGATTTGCTATTTAACAAGCCGTTTACATGTGCCCCCCACAAGATGATCAGAAATCTTTGAGACCTTTTTAGTTGTACTGCTCACTTCCAAATATCAAAAAGACAGAAAAAGATTAATTGTGCTTTAATGCTATTTGAATCTTGGTGCACTGCAGCATTATCATTAAAATTTATGTCAAAGAGAGGAGTCCACTCACAGTGTGCTGTTGCCTTAATGCAAAAATGTAACATTTAACCTTTACTGACATTTAAAAGGCAACATGTGTGCGTCCATCGTCAGTATTTACGAGAACCTTTTAGCAAATGAAATTTAAAAAATGTCATGCTCTGCCACCAAACCGCTCTCTGTGTTGTACAGAGCATACAAACAAGACAAATAGTTTCTTTTTGTGCCTGTTTGTTATTATACATCAATGCAATATTTTGTTAGCCTACTCTGGCACAAGAAAGTATTTTATACTGCTCTTGGGATTTTAAACAATTTTTATCATCTGTGGATTCTAAGCTTCAATGGAATTAAATTATGTTTCAGTGTAACAGGTTAGATGATGTTTTCTTTCAACTTTCCACTTTTCTACAATGATCCGCAGCCGAGCAATGGTCTGGGTCTCCTCTGTCTCTTCCTTGCTGAACTGACCAGGATGCCTAAATGGTGGAATGATGAGTTTGGCTCCAACTTCATGAAGAAGGTCTTGAATGAGGAAGCCTTTATCTGCCATGACTTCATCTCCCAGCTCAAGCAGAGGAAGGATTCCACTGACCTTCGTTATTTCTTTGTCGGAGATGCAGCCTGAGTACAACGCTGAAATAAATGTGACCAACCCACAGGGAGCAACTCCAAACAGCCCTTTCAGAGTGGTGTGGTTCTTGTAGGCAGAGAACGTTTCAGACTGTAAGGTGAGGGATGATGGCGTTTCCAGAGCAACTTCTGTGCAGTCCAAGACGACACGGACATTTGGAGAGAACTTCAGAAATTTCTGAGGCATACTGGCTTTTACCTTCTCTCGACTAATCCACAGGTTGATGGAAGAGAACACAATGAAGAGGTAGTTGGCTCAGGTGATGGTCACACGGCTGACAGTAGCTATGCTGACTTGAAACATGTCAGCAATGAGCTGCTCCTTCATGCCCACTGCAACCCTGAATGAGAACATCAGGAACTCATCAATCAGAGGCATTCAGCAGGCAGGGCTGGCTTCAGCACATGCTTCCTCTCCAAGTTTCTGTGCTCTGGTTCAGTACACCAGGCGTGATGCAGAGGGTGCAATGGACTCCCAGAAGATCCGGAACACACATTCAGATGGAAATTTGGTGTAGAACCGGATCTGGTCATCAGAGGCACAGTAGCGGCTAAAAAGTGTGGCAGACAAACCCACTTTTTGAAGTCTGGCCTCCA